GAGTCGTTGGCGAGGGAGATAGTGGATGAATGTTCTCCTTAATATTCTAAATAAGAAAAAAATGCATGAATTTCTTAATTCTTGCTGCATGGCCTCGTCTATATTCCAAACAAATAAAAAAAAATCCATGAATCATTATCAATTTAAATTTAACCAAGTTATAATATGCTAACATTTTTAAAAAAAAAATTATTTAGCAGAGTGAATTTCTTTTTTCAAATATAGAGTTTTTCTTTTTTCAAATATAAAATTTTGCGGACTACTGTAATTTAATTTCGTTCTCCTCAAAAATTGGACACCTATCCATGACTAAATGTATGTTATTACTATTAACTAGTCACTATTCGTGTATCTCACAAATACTTCTCCTTAAAATAAACTAAAAATGAAATCTACCAGTTTTTTTAATAGATTAACAGTCTTATTTATATGATAATTAATTATTAGGCTAATCAACTATTTTATTCGATCTTTAATTATTTATATGGTTCCGACATCTTCACTAAATTTTTATTTTTCTAATATCAATGGGTATATGATCCATCAAAAAAGATTAAAGATTGAACTTTCGTTTTTAATCAATCATGAACATAAAGCGTTGTTTTTGTTAATTTTCCGGTGTGCAACTGTTGCATGCAAATTGGGTGTTCATTGTTCTGCTGTTGTCCAATCAACTGCAACAAAAAACAGAAGGCAAAAATTACCACCTGCTCTTAGTTATAAAAGTCGAAATTACCAATGTTTGGAGTGTAGGCTGTGTAACAAAAAACTTTTTTTTTTCTTTCGAAATTTTAATTTTCAAGTTAATTAAAAGCTGTAACCGTGGTCACATGTTCGTTAGTTATATTTTTTTGTTAAATTGAAAGAAAAAAAAACCATCTTGGAATCGCGGAATGAGCGGTTTTAAAGTCTCTTTCGTTTGGGGTTGAAAATATAAATTTCAAATTTTTTTTAAAGCATAAATATAATACAAATTTTAGTTTTCGAACTCAAAAATGTAAAGTTTAGATTAAGAAGTAATAGAAAACAGTAATAGTACATAGTGATAATAAATAATGATAGTAAATAGTAATAGTAAGAGTAATAATAATTAGAAATAGTAATATATAGTTATAGTAGTAGTATAAGGCAGCGATTCTCAAATGGTGCTTCGCGGATCCCTATAGGGTTCCGTGGAAGAGTTAAAAGAGTTCCGGGAGTTAGTACTTTTTATAATCAGTGATGAGGTTTGAAACCTCCTATTGTATTCAGATCCAATCTATAATTCATAATTTATTTAATCTTACGGTTGCCTCGATGAAACTATTTAAAGTAAAATGCCAATGAAATAAAGATGGAATTTTTTTTAAGGGAAAATATATTTCTAATGACAATATATTGAACAAATTATGATGAAAAAAACGAGCATTTATAAAATATTCCATTAATATTTCCTATTGTGCTTTTCAATCAAAATAACAGAATTCTTTAATAAAGAGATGTGTTTCCATATTATAGTAGTTCTTTTAAGTTTTCATTTTGAAGTAAACCATAATTCGGCTTCTTTTAATCATTTTCAGCTTATGTCATATCATATCATATATGTCTTATATTATCATGTATGTTACAGCCAACGTATGTTACAAGTCGGTTATTAATACTAACTGGTCAATATTAATAATTGCCAAATAAGCCGGTTAAAGTGAAAAATTTAAGCGAATTTATCACATTAACCGGTTATTATTAATAATAACCAATAAAGTTTGGTCTATGTCATTCTTTCGCGTTTTTATTGTGGATATTTCGGCATCATGATCTGCAACGTCAACTGCAATCGCCAAGGTGCTATATTGATTTTAAGCTGGAAATTTAAAATTAAAAAATATAAAAAATTTTAAAAAAACATTTAGATGTTTGCCGGAGGGTTTCTACAAGTTATAAAGCTTCAAGCTGGTCCCTATCTGGGATGTTTTTTTCTTTTAGTTTCTTGCGGGCAAGTGCCCGGAAGTTGCCAAGATTAGCGATTATTCTGCCACAGATCACGATACGGAAATCTCCCCTTTTTATTTTTCACTTTGATCAAAAGAAGCAGTTATTATTCATTTTGACCGGTTAGTATTAATAATAATCGGATTTTTTATTTTAACCGTAACACGTATACAAAGAGATGCACCCATTTCTCACTGCTATAATAAACCATTCAATCACATTGACCAAACTTCATTGGTTATTAATTAATAATAACTGGTTAAAGTGAATAATTTGCGATGTTTCTAACTTTGACCAAAAGAAGCGGTTATTATTAATATTGACCGATTAGTATTAATAATAACCGGATCTATTATTTTAACCGTTACATATACACCAGAAACAAACTCATAACTAGACTAGATATAGGCACAAGGGCTGAAAATTTAACTGTCGGACATTAATACTAATTTATGATTATTAATGATAAAGCGATGAAAAATCTTCATTTCTGTAATTAAATATTTTAAATATAGTCTTTTATAGGTTATAACGTTCACAGTTACTTTAAAAGTTTATTTATAAAGTCGGTGTTCCACCGAAAGAAGGTTGATTATTTAGAGTTCCACAGCCGAAAAAAATGGGAACCGTTAATATAAAGGAATAGTAAAATTTTGGTCCCCCAAAATTTACAACAAAACCAAAAATGCGGAATCAACATGATGCTCATTCAAGAATGGTCAACACATTAAAAAAATAATACCGCGGGAGAAACCTTTCATGGCAAATTCTGTTTAACCAACACAAGTATATGGATGGGTGATCGTGTAAAGCTAAGGGTGGCGGCGCTAGTGGTAAAATTGCTCTTTCCAAACTTCCGGGTTACTGCTTCCGATATATTTTTACGCCGCAGATTGAGAAAACGCGCCATCATATTATTGCATCATATCTTTTGCAGTATTTCACATGTACCGAGTTCTTTCTTTCAGCCTTTAAACTTCAGCATTATCATATTAATATTATAATCATTAGAATATTTTCTAATTAGGCTAACTTAAATAGATATTTTTGGGGATATTTTATTAAAATGTAGCCAAATAAGGGATAAAATACAAAACATGGCAAACCTTAAGAATTATTCACAATGAGATATTAACTTTCCAAAATTTTTTTTGGCCTTACGACCTCTGAGAATCAATACATTTCTGAAAGCTCTTATGANATATATATATATATATATATATATATATATATATATATATATATATATATATATATATATATATATATATATATATATATATATATATATATATATATATATATATATATATATATATATATATATATATATATATATATATATATATATATATATATATATATATATATATATATATATATATATATATATATATATATATATATATATATATATATATATATATATATATATATATATATATATATATATATATATATATATATATATATATATATATATATATATATATATATATATATATATATATATATATATATATATATATATATATATATATATATATATATATATATATATATATATATATATATATATATATATATATATATATATATATATATATATATATATATATATATATATATATATATATATATATATATATATATATATATATATATATATATATATATATATATATATATATATATATATATATATATATATATATATATATATATATATATATATATATATATATATATATATATATATATATATATATATATATATATATATATATATATATATATATATATATATATATATATATATATATATATATATATATATATATATATATATATATATATATATATATATATATATATATATATATATATATATATATATATATATATATATATATATATATATATATATATATATATATATATATATATATATATATATATATATATATATATATATATATATATATATATATATATATATATATATATATATATATATATATATATATATATATATATATATATATATATATATATATATATATATATATATATATATATATATATATATATATATATATATATATATATATATATATATATATATATATATATATATATATATATATATATATATATATATATATATATATATATATATATATATATATATATATATATATATATATATATATATATATATATATATATATATATATATATATATATATATATATATATATATATATATATATATATATATATATATATATATATATATATATATATATATATATATATATATATATATATATATATATATATATATATCCTTAAGTTTTTGGTAGGTTATATATATATATATATATATATATATGTATATATATATATATATATATATATATATATATATGCATGCAGATAAACTGCTGGATTAGAATTCAAGGTGCTTTCATCAAACTGAATGAATGCCTTCGAAGCTTATCTTTTCCTGTCAAACTAATAATGTGCTAATAAAATTAATGTTGATACAAAAATAAGTTTATAGCAAACCGTTTTTCACTTAAATTTATGAGATCAATCTAAATTCTTTTTTAAATCCATTAAATTGTAACCATATTGAGTTTTTTTCAAAAACGTCTCTTTCAACAATTAATGTCTTCATCGAATAAAATGAATGGACTGAGTGCTCAATTTTACTTCATTTATTTCGCTGTCACATTAACCCAATGTTTGTCTCCATACGTTAAGATTATCTGAGCAAAAACAAATGTTGTTTTATCGTAATATTTACGTTTCTGTCAAAGGTTATGCATGCAACTCTATTTATCCCAGTTTAATAGCGGTACCGAAAGCTTGCCTGTCTTCCATTAAAAAAAATGGCCAAAAAAAAGAGAACATTTTTTTTATCAGTGAAATTTCTGAGCCAGCCTCGAAGTGATTTGTATATCAGACGTGCGAGATGATTGCGTGATGAAATCCATCTAAGTTCTTATAATTCTTTTTTCTTGCAGGCTGGCTACAGTCCTCTGCATCAGGCAGCCACTGAAGGTCACGAAGAAGTGGTGAAAATTCTTCTAAAGAGCGGATGCCATGTCGATACGCAAGACGAACTGGTTAGTTTTTAAGAAATTCTCCTTGATGAAGATTTTCCTTTTATTTTCCCCCCACTTGTTTCCGAATTATTTCAACGAAATAAAAATATTTCACCAGATATGGGCATTAAATACGATGCTGGCTATCATATTAATCGCCAAGACTAGTTTCTCTTGCCTCCAGCAGTTTCACTTCCACATAAAATGTGATATATCTCGATAAAGATTTCATTATTTTTTTCTGTAAGTTAATAAAGGAGACACCTTCTGAGAATTCAGAACACAAATACTTGCTCTTATCGAGATAATTGAATGGATAAAATGGCTTGATACTTTAGGGTCACAAACTCATGCCTACCAGCTTTTACTCTTTCAAAGAAAGATTTTTTTCCGAGTGACACCGAAATTAGAATTGAATGACAATTGGAGGAAGAAACATTTTTATATTTTTACTCAGCTTAACCCGTTGGAGTCTGATTTATTTAAATTCCGAATTAAAGGAAACATCTAAATTTAAGACAGGTAGTAAGTTTTTGATTAACGCCGTTTTTTGAATCTCTGTCGCCAAGGAAAATAAAAAAAATCCATAGTTTAAGTGCCTTACACTCAAAGTAATACAATAATTTTAAACTCTATATATCATCTGGCCGTGAAGAATTATCTGGACTTTAGAACTGATAAATAACTTAAAGGTTATTAAACATTATTTAAAAATAGTCAATTTGACGACATTTTTTCTACCTTGATGACAGTTATCAAAATCATTGCCGTAATAGCAGTTTTTGAAAATTTTTATGAGCCCATATAATGCAGCATTGGGTTAAGTTTTTTAAAATTAAAAAATTAGACCACAAGCGCTTTTCAATTTTAAAAAAAAATGGGGCTTNTGATGACAGTTATCAAAATCATTGCCGTAATAGCAGTTTTTAAAAATTTTTATGAGCCTGTGGCGTAACTACCACTACAAAAGTTTAACATCATTCACTAGTATATAAAGCATGCTAACTTGATTCTATCACAAGGTTACCTTTTGATAGATGACGGTTGGCATGGCCGAATAACTCCGCCCTCGACGTTTTGGACCATTTTCAAAATAGGCTTAGACAGCGCTGGCTTTAGATAGGCTAAACTTAACCTAACAGTCATGAATAACAATTGAGAAGTCACCGCAGTTATGAAAATAGAATATTATTTGCAAAAAAGCATAATTTCATAGGATGACGAAGCCTTCGAAAAACAGCCTTAAGAATGATAGGAAACTTTTAGTAGATTAGTTACCAAATCTAACCTGATACCTTCACTAAATGCTTTGTCGTTCACAAAATGTGGTATTTATCAATGCATTATCTCTTTCTGAAACAGACTGACAGAGATATAAATTCCCAGCTACTTTTTTGTTCGAAATAAATGCATGACGAGTCCCAATCGTCAGGTGAAGTGATTAACCCGTTTATGCCCAGGCTCCAAAAAGCAGTCTATATATGAAAAATTACTATAAAAAATGTGGTTTATCATGTTTGTCTATACTAAGTGGATATTTAATTTTGCTACCTACTTCTTTAAGTAAAAAAAAACAATGTGCCTTACTTCATATCCAATTTTAAAAGTTTATAATATTAATATATTATGGAGACACAGACCTACCATGTTTCTGTTAGATTAATCCAAGAAATGGACCACTTATGGAATCACTTTTTGTTCGTTTATGAGTAAATAACTGTTCTTTAAAATGATCACTAGGAACAAATGGTTAAGTATATCTACTTCCAGGTCATAATATCTTTTTATTTTTCTGAACAAATCATGATGATCTTACAACATGATTTAATAAATCAAAAAGGCCACTAGAAATCTTTAGACTGTGTCGATGATTAAGTTAAATACACCATTTATGTATTAATTTCTTGCAACACATTCATATGCAGACTTGTGGGGTTCAATACAAAGGTAGCTTATATTGTCAATATGAAGAACAGACATCACAAAAACACGCATAGGGTTGCGAAGGGTTTTGAACCCATACTACCTACACTCTACAGAGCATTTGGCGTAACCACTCAGCCAAGGAGGTTCTGACACTATCATACTTGCTCCGGAAAATTTTATATTTTATATTTATTGCGGTAGCAAAATTTATGCAATCGCATTTTATTCTTGTTTAAATAAATGCGATTAAAAATGGTATTGACCATCGTTACATACATATACCCTATCTACCAATAAGCATTTGGACACGTGTGATAGAAAAGAAAAAGAAACTTTTTTCCTAATCAATAGTTGGTAGAGCCTCCACGCTGTAATTGCCTCCACGAGAGGCAATTACAGCGTCAACCCTCCGGGGCATACTTTCCACAGTCATTGTGTGACGACTAATGGTATTTTCTTCCACTCGGCTTGTAGAAGACATGTTAGTTCCTTCACTGATTTTGGACGGGTGGTACACTCCTTAATTCAGCGATCCAACTCATCCCAGAGGTTCGCAATAGGGTTCAGGTCTGGGCTCTGGGCAGGCCAGTCCATTCGATTAACCCCATTGGCACCATACCAAGCCTTGGTGACCCTCGCAACATGACAGCTGGCATTGTCTTCCTGGAAGTAACAGGGTTCCACCCCATAAAAGTGCCACAATGTAGGAAGCACATTGTCATCCAAAATAGTGCAGTAGGCATCGGTGTTGAGCTTACCATAAATGGGGACCAAGGATCCCAATCAATACCAGGAGAAACACCCCCAGACCTTAATTCCACCTCCGCAGAACTTGACTGTTGGCACAATGCATTCTGGAAGGAGACGTTCTTCAGTCATACACCAGACCCTGCCATCCGAACCTTGATTCGTCGCTCCAAAGAACCGCTGATCGACTGTCCAATTTCGATGTGCTCTGCACCACATTAACCGGTTGGACTTCCAAGCAGATGTGCTTGGAAGAACCATGAAAACCAAGCAGATGTGCTTCCTTGCGGATGATATTAATTGAAACAACACTTCCGGATGCCTGTTGAAACTCCTGCTGTATGGGGGTGCGGTTCTTCCGAATTTCTATGGAGTTTGGGTAAGTCAACTGGCTAGATATGTCCCTTAAGGATCGACCATTTTTGTGATACACCAACAATACCTTTTTCGAAGTCAGAGAGCTCCGAATTGCGTGGCATCTTGCATGGGACTAATGCCGATGTACCAAACACGATATATACAGGTGGTGGGAGTGACGTATCTCAGGACCGCAGATATAGTCATTTGCAATGGTGTCTAAATACTTATTGGTAGATAGTGTATATAGAAGAAGTAAAATTATTCAAATAAAATAATTTTAAAAAAAATATTTAAAAAAAACAGATAAAAAAAGAAAACAAGAATATTAAGAAGCCGGGAAACAAAATAATGAATACATATAATCTCGCCACCAGCCCACATGACCATATCCGCGAAAAGGAATGCTTTCCAATATTGCACTAATAAAGCCAAAGCAGCAAAACACATCAATACAATATANTATGAAAGTAACTATATATATATATATAGCCAGGTATCCGCTTCTTAAAGGAGTTTGTACCATTGTTTATGGGACATCTGCTATGTTACGCGACTCTCAGACGAGTTAACCAGGTTAAAAATTGATAGTTGCATCCTGAAAATTAGAAATTTAAACAAAAATAAGCATTCCCCGCAATCTACAAACAGAAAAATAATGGACAAATGGAAACTCGGCATTTTCTTTCTCGGGAAAATAAATAATCCTTGAACCATAGAAATTTATCATGCAATTTTTTAAAAAAGAAGAGCATTTAAAAATACATAATTTATTTCCATACAAAAAAAGAAATGATGGATTAGAAACATTCCAAATCGATGATAATCCATCACAGAACAAAACTTAGTTTCAAATCACACTGGAGCGAGACAAATTAGAATAAAACTTTTACTGCTTTCTTGATTTTTTGTTAAACTCTGTCACGCATTCGACAACAACCCGGATTTTCACTCAGCTCTCCTCAGAACGTAAATGAGCGCGAAGAAGGAATTGTCTCAGCGTTTTTTGCGAACGCTTGCCTAACCCTTCATGGCTCGACGGTACTTCAAAATATCCTCTTTTTTAAACAATGAATGAAAAAAGTATTTTTACCATAAGATCAATCTTCGTACCAATTTCAATTCAAATCCTATTCTAATACTTTAATTCCAGAATGCTGTTTTCACATTTTCTGCGAATTATAATTACACAAAATTGCGAAATGTTTTTTGTTTTTCTTTTTAAGTGCCTTGAAATTTTAACTCGCTTTTACTCGAGAAAATGGGTGAATTAAATCGAAATTTTGTTTTAAAAAAATGTTAACCATTGTCAACAACTAAGTTTCTGCGAGTAAAGTTAAGACGATATTTAAAAAATAAAATAACTTTGGCTTTCAGAGAAATGGTATTTTATTTTATTTTATAATCAGCATTGGACTGCCGATTCATTTGGGTTTACGACCATTAATACTCAACTTCGTAACCTTGTCATTTTAAACCCCCCAACCGAAAAGAAAGTGAATTCTTGGATCAATCCTTGGGACAAACTAGCCTTGATAGCGGATTTTTAGTTGGAACTAACCCGCATTTGCGTTGCATGGAGACGAAAACCACCCATGATTAGCCTGATGGTAAGGGGACTCTAACTCATGATTAGTCTACCACTGAGGACATTTTACGTCAGCACTGTGGTCGGTGCGAGATGGCTGCGGAATTCGTATCGACCAGCCATTGCTGGGATTCGAAACCGGGTCACATCATTGGAAGGCGAGAGATCTATCCTCTGAGTCACTATGGCTAGAGAAATGATATCAAAGATATTCCATTATTATTAATTACACTGAACGGTCCTTTTGAATAAGAAAAACAAACCTTAACAAAAATACCTCACTTCAAATTGAGTTAAAAAATTCAATACTAATGCAAAGTTTATTGAGCGGAAATATGGCGTAAAATTAACAAATGCATTTGAAAGTTTTTCTGGTGGAAATGGATCCACAAAGTTAAAAAAATCTGAACTACTTTTGACAAGAAAACAAAGCAATATCTATTGCAAAGTTTTATTTCTGTGTTATTATTCACCGTAAGCAGTATAAATGATTTACAGAAAAAAAAAACTCATTTTTTTTGAATAGGGTAACTGCAAGCATCGTCACACGTGGGAATCGAACCTGATTGGTTGTTGAATCGTGGCATTTATTTATGCCATGATTTAGCAGTCAAGCAGGAGACCCAGTAAAATCTGATCCAAAAAATTATTAGGAGAGATAATAAACCAAGCCCAATAGCCATACCGTTAAACGCGCCACCTTGTTCATACACAATCTTCTGCTCCTCGAGTTCCCGGTGGTTCTCAATTATATTACAATGAGTTGCACAGCGTATCTATATTTTTAAAAATAAAATGAAAGACTTTTTTCTTTTGCAGCACGGGAATACAGCTCTTCATGAATCAGCTTGGAAGGGATTCAGTCGGACATTAGAGATTCTCTGCAAGCACAACGCCAATGTTTATATAAAGAATAACGTAAGATTGCTGACTAATTCTTTCAAATGTGAACTCAATAACTCTATGTAATCTATATATATATGAACTTGTTTATGTGAACTTCTATAGAAGAACTTCCTTCTGTATGAACACGGCTCACTCCACTCTTACACCCCTTTGACTGCTTTTTAATAATCATTGTTTTTTCCCCTTAAAAATCGAAACTTTTCCAACAAAAAAAAAGAGAACATTTTGTGTATAATTATTATAGTTTTATGTAAGAAAGTTTCATTAATTCGTTAATCGTAACAAAAATTGGGTTTCAAACACCGGGGAACATTTTTTTGTTTTGCTTCATGAGATTTTGAACAGATCTTAAATATTTTTTGACGGAACTAACCCGCATTTTTTTTACATTTAGAGGAAAACTACGAAAACCAACCACGGTTAGCCTGATGGTAAGGGTACTTTAACGCATGATTTGAGGATATTTTAAGTCAGCACTGTGGCTGGTGCGAGCCGGGTGCGTAATTCATATCGACCGGCCATGGCTGCGATTCGCACTCGGTTCACCTCATTAGAAGGCGAACGCTCTATCCCTTGAGCCACCGCGGCGCTCATAGCTTATTTCTCTAAGTTTTTGCGTTTCTTTGAGGACATGAATAATGTGTTCAGTATTATTTCGTTAGTATATCCAGTGATAATCACAGTAATTTTTTAATAAGTAGTATATAATTTTCCTTATTTTCTTCAAATAAATAATGTGTTGGAGTTCTAAATTTCAAAATTTAAAACACTAAGCGAAGTGGAAAAGGTACTAATATTTTAAAGTATTAAATAAAAGCGAAACTTTTTCAGTTGTAAAGGCGGCTCCTTTGCTAGAGGGGATTGTGCAGCAGTCCATAAAGACAATGCTTTCTCAATTTATAATTAATATGCTCTATTTTTGTTGCATGTTACACAACTTTGCAGTGTAAACACTCCCCCAACATATTCCCATTAACTTAATAAAGGAAAAAAAAAGAGAACATAAAAGTGTGGGTAGGTGTCTCCCCCCGTTAACAAAATTACATTAATGTAATATAAAAAGCATGCTATCGAATACACTCTTCATTGAAACAAATACATTAATAAGAAGTAATGCCTTTTTATTGTTTACTCAAATAAAATTAAATAAATAAATAAATGAAACTTTTATGTCAATTAATTAATTTCTTTTTAATTTCAGGGAGGTTTTACCCCTCTTCATTTAGCCTGCCAAAATGGTCATAATCAAAGTTGTAGAGTTTTATTGCTATCTGCTTGCAAACCAGATGTCAGGAACAGTGTAAGTGCATTGCTGGTCTAATCCATTGCTTTTATAGTTAAGATACGAAAAATTTCAACGAAAGGAACTCCACAGGATATTACTTAAAACCATATTCATTGAAGTGCTGTAGGTAAACCAATAACACACTGTAATTTTACACGCAAGTTGCTAGTGCTAGTTTTTTTTTTTTCTTTTTGGTTGAAAATAAAATAAAATAAAATTAAAAAAGTTATCGTCGATAAACATTTTTGAAAATCGCATTGAACTAGAAAATTACTTAGAAATGTCAAGATAATGTATCGTGCCCGCTTAAAAAACAAAGTATCAGAATTGAAAAATATGCCTTTCTTTGCAATGCAAAAATTGAAGGAAATGCTTAATTATTGTATATTGCATGGATGCCAACTGCTCCGTATTTTGTATAAGTTTTTATAAATTGGTAATGAATTTAACCCCTTCCTTTTTTCTCCCGTCAAAATAACGGGGTGATGTTTCGCCCTCTATTTCTCGCGCCCCTGATATTTCCGAGCTGGTGTGTTTGAAAGTAACTAACTAAAATGATTAAAGGAATCACGCTTATTTCTCAATCCAATCACCAAGTGACAGTTCCAGACTATTTGCCATCCATTTAGAGATAGTTTATTTTAAACTAGATGTCAGCACGCATCAAACATGTAAGTTAAAAATTAACTCAAAAATTAAGAATGACTAGATATATTATATATCTAGTCATAGCTCTTGGATTTATATAATTTCTTGAATTAAAAAAAATGGATTCTTTTATGACTGTTTTTTTTTTCTTCTTCAAAATTATGAAACCATTAAGGGGTTAAACATAAAACTTCCTGAATAAGAGACATTTTCGGTAATTCTCTAAATGTCTTCCAACAAGATGACTACAATCTACTGCTAAAGGACATTTTATATCAGGCTTTGTATATTTGATTTGTTGTGGTGGAAGAATAGTTTATAATCATATTTACTAAACTAAAAATAGTTATCACAAGAAAATATTTGTTTACAAAGCGGAGCCAGTTGGTATCTTTGATATAGTAAAGTAGAGTCACTATATATATAGACATAGCGATTCGGTTTAAAATTTGCAATACTTTTTATATTTTAATAAATTTATAGAGTGTAATTTTAAATTGTAAAAATCGCTTACCTATTTAATTTTCTAATCTTATCAGATGAAATCTACTATTTCCACTTTTTTATTACGGACTTCGTTAAATTGCTTTTTGATTAAAAGATGCTTCTCCTTACATTCATGTTAAAATAGTCAACTTTGATGTAGTCTTTTACAGGAAACAAACTAAATGTTTCTTCCATTTAAAAAAAAAAAAATAATAATAACCTTGTTTTTTTGCTCCGTTTTTCTTTTTATGGTGCATATTTTGGTGTTTTATTCCTTTTTTAATTTCCATCACTGACTTATTTTTTTATTTACACAGAAACCAAATTCTCTGAATTTTAAAACATCTCCACGTTAAAATGGATAAGAAAATGAAAGTTTAAATTGATTATACATTTTCCGAGAAAAAGTACATCAATGATGGCCGGCAAAGAGCATCTGATTCCCAATATGTATTTTATATCGTCAAAAGGTTTAATAGTTGTACATTTCTTTTTCAGTATGGTGATGCTCCCCTCCATACAGCAGCTAGATACGGACATGCCGGTGTTTTGAGAATATTAATCAGTGCTTTCTGTAATGTAAATGAAAAAAACAAGGTATGATTCTCAGAATGTGATATAGTTCTTTTCCTTATTAACTATGTTTTTAATACCATTTAACACGTTATTATGATAGGAAGATTTTTTTTATTAAGTAATGTATAAAACTTTAATAATTGACACTCAATTGAATGATTTATTATGCACAAATTTAGAGAAGCTAATATGCGTTAATACAAATTTATTGAAATGAAAACTTCAATCATTCAGATAAGAAACTTTTACTTATGAAGATTAAATGCATGTCGCTACATTATTAATTAGGGAGAGTGCACAAATATTTTACATTTTCTAATTTAACTCAAAAGAGTTAATGGTGGTTTTCGTAACGCAAATTTCAAGTTAATGGTGGATTTTTGAAATGCCTATAATAAAGTTACAAGTTTTCCCGGCAAAGCGAGAACTAATGATGTTCGAAAATCTCTACATTTTCTTGGGGTGCTGCCATTCTTATTGACACTTACATAATATATTCAGGAACCAATTTTCGTAAGCTTTTCAAATATAAAATATCCAAAACATACGGAATACATTAAATGGCCAAAAAAACCTTATGGCCGCTTGAAATCCACTCAGCTTCAGCAATCCACTGTTGGTCCTCCTTTTGCATAGATGCCAGCTTTCATACATCTGGGGTAACCAGTTTTAGTCAGCTGACCATACGAGTTGACTTCAGGGGTCCATCACAGATGAAAAGTGTGCTGGCTGTGTGGATGGTCGATTTGGCAAGTTACGCTATTTGCATTCTAAAAAGTCGTCCCAAAGATGTTCTATGGGTCTTGAGATCAGGACTTTGTGAAGACCAGTTCAGTTTTTGAACACCCATTTCGCAAAACCATGGTTGCTTTAGTATGGGCCATCCCGGAAATAGAATATCGCGGAAATAGAGCATCGTCATAGAGTCGAGAGATCAGTTTTGTTAAAAATGCCCACATACATTTCATTGTTCCTGTTTACAACCACAGGAACTTAACTGAGGTGGCTCAGGGGATAGAGCGTTGCGCCAAGGAGGCGTATCAGGTTTGAATGTCAGTTGGGGCTGGTTGATAAGAAATCTGCTCTCGGCTCGCACCGACCACAGTGTGGAAGTAAAATATCCTCATCTTCACTGGTAGACACCGTGGGTTCAAATCTTGGTTGGTGTTTCTCTCTATGTAATACAAATGAGAGTTTCTTCAAAAAGTTCTACACGGAAGCTAATTTGCCCCAATGCTTGGTTCAGGAGTTCTCTTGTCTTCTGGGTTAGGTTCAAAATTACAAGCCTATGGAGTTGAACATTGATAGTCGTAAAAGTCAGGATTGAGTCGGTAATAAAATCCTAGGAACTGAAGGATCTAGTCCAAACTACGGAAAACAACCACCACACCATCATGGTCCAGATCAACTTCTTTACGTGAGTTTTCGGATATTTTTGGCATGATAGTGTATCTAGTTGAATTAGTTTTGTTAGTTTAATGAGTACATTTTAATTCGGATAGCAATAAGTCATGTTGTTAATACAAGACTCGTATCTTTTTAGTTTAGGTATTCACACTAAAACAATGTATAAAATTTAAACATTGATTATAACTTCCAACTGGTTGTCGATGATTATTATGGTTAAGTAACTATTATGATAACTATAATAATGTATTTTAAGTAATTATTGTGATCTCTTTTAATAGAATGGTGACACAGCATTGCATATATCAGCAGCTATGGGTCGAAATAAGCTAACAAGGATTCTTCTTGAAGCGGGAAGTGACCAGAAGATAAAAAATAATGTAAGATATGCATTTTTCTTTTCGAAAAAAATAATTTAGTTTTTATTAAAATATTTTCTTAAATGTCTCAAATAATATGCTTTTCTATGGAGAAAAAAAAACTTTTTTTAAAAAAAATACAAAAAAATACTTTACTGTTAAAAATATTTTGAGCGTGTATTTAAAATATTCTACTTTCATCAATGTAAAAAGCTACACTGTCCAGAATCCAGTCCTATTATTAATTTGACCATCACTTACTTTTGACGTCAATGTGAAATAACATATCATAGAAGAAGGCATGTGACAGCACATTGCTGTGGAGTGTATTAAAAGATGTCGAATAGAATAAAAAATCGTTTTAATCATTAACGTAATTCTGAAACGGTGTGATTTATATGACGTTCAAACGGGTTTGATCATTGCCTTTCTGGCCAAGAGTAGAAGCATTTTCGAAACGGCTAATTTTGTAAATTATTCTTGTGCCGCCATGGTAAAAGTATACCGTGCACCACGGGCCATAGATGACAGAGGTGAACGATGGCTGGCATTCGAGTGAATAGACGTGCAACTGACCGCCCACATGAATCAAGGGGCTACCAAAAGTGTCTCCTCAATGACGTTCAGTGAACGTTGGACCTCTACAGCAAATAAACCTATGCTGACGTTCCTATGTTCATCGACGACGAAGGCTGGAGTTTGCTCCTCAGTACTGCACTAGACGTCTCAGTAGTGACAGAGAGGTGTAAGAAATCACGCTTTATGTTCCATCGGACAGAGGGATGTTGACGTATACGGCGTGAAACGTCTGAAAGCAAACACTCTGAAACAATTTCCGGAACAAGTCGGAGGAAGGGACATTATGGTCTGGGGGGCATTTTTGTGGTATTCTATGCTCATCATTGTGGAAGGTACGATGGATCAACGCAAGTACTCATTTGTTCTTGCGAACCCTGTCCACCCTTATATGTGAATTGTTTTTCCTCAGGGTGATAGGATCTGCTAGCAGGACGATGAAACGAGTCATACAGTTCGAAAAGGTTGGAAGAGCACCAGGTTGAGTTTACTGTATTCTCTTGATCATCAAGCTTCCCGGACTTAAATCCAATCTAGAATCTGGGGGACCTGGTTCGCACCCTGAATCCTGAACCGCGTAATATTGAGCAGTTGCCCATTGCGCTAGAGTTTTGGAGTTATCAAGTTATTTTGTTATCTAGTTATTTGTGTAATACTGGATGGCAAAATCTTGACCAAAATCAAAACAGGAGTACAGATGTTTCTAAAATATTATGAAAGATATAAAATTATAAGTTTTGAAAATCTGAAATAAAATACAGTTAATTGTAAAAAATCTGATGGATATTAAGCAGGGTGCGTAGCCAAATTATTCAACAAAAAATAAGCAACTTTTAAGCACTTTTCAAGTATTCAAAAAATATTTTTAAGCACTTTAAAAAAGTACCATATTTGGGCAGGGCTGAAAAGTTTTTGACAATTGACGGTTTTATCTTGTTTCAACCGTCATGTCAAAACAAAAAAAAAAAAAAAAAAACTTTTGGTGTTGTTTTTAATCATGAAGTTTTGAATCATATAAAACGAATGGCTTTTTCATACACTACGGACTGACAATACGCCGAAATAGATTGGGGTTGAATGAATTCTGAAAACATTGAATAGAAAAATGTGAACTGCGTCTTTTTGCATAATTAGCAGCTAAAATTAAAATCAACACGGTAAAAGAAAAAAAATCTCATTTTAATAAAAGGAAAATTAAGAACTTTTTAAAAACACCCAATGAGAAAAGCACCTTTAAGGGCTTTTAAAAAATGAAAGTCGAAAATAAGCACCTTTAAGCACTTTTTAAAAACGCTACGCACCCTGTTAAATGAAATGAGGATAGAAACATTAAATGTGAGGAATATCTATTTTTAGCATTAAAAAAAAAATCTATATTGATGAATATAATCCCTTCTCCCCATTTAAATTTCATGCTATGTTCGCACATTCTCAAATGCATGTTTAATATTTTAGCCAACATTAAAATGTTTGTCATAATTGCCGTGAAACATTGTATAGATTATAGAAGAAGAAAAAATCAGAACGTGTAGAAACACTGTTTACAAAATATATACACTTGCAACTTTCATAACATATTCTAACGCCCAAAAAGTTGAGCGTTTTCAAAATGAAACTTAACACTCTTTAGTACAACCTCCTCCGTAACGATCCGTTCATTATAAAGGTCAAAAAGCAAGTCCTATTTCCTAGACCAAATGTTATTTTGGCACCCATTCCTATTAGAACGATCACATCCACACAGAACCATTTATTCCAATAAAAGCAATCAAAATTTTGTTCGACTTTTTTGTTTTCGTGATTATCAATTTGAAAATTAGACAAATTATTTTAAATAATTTCATAATATAATGTTTCCACTAAACAAATGAGTCATTTGCATATTAAACGTGAAACCTCTTGTATTCCTCTTTTTGAATGAAGTAAGAGTCGAGAGAGCAGTTTTGNCCATGTCTTAAGACAACTTAAAGTAACATCAGTGCAATTTCTGTTGTTGCAGATTAGATGACAAATAACTTATATTAAGTTGTAAGATGTTAGTTTAAGCAGGACTATTATTTTTTTTGGCTAGTTATTTATTTTTAGCTTGGTTATTAATTGTTTTTCTTAGCATTAATTGTTAATTTTTTTATAAATAATTGTTTATTTTTTTGCTTGTTTTTGTGAATTTTAATTTAATTGTGACATATGTTTCATAGTATAATAACAATTCTTAGTCTAATAACAATTGTGATCGGTGGCGTGCCCAAAATATTGTGTCTCGTGCCATAAATGGCACGCGTGCCATTGGTTCGCCATCCCTGATTTAGGATATCATTTGTGCTTTCACAATGCATTGACTTCATGTTATAACATCTACTTTCATTTAGACTAAAGGTCAAGCTTACTATATATACGACTATATGTTCTTTTCCTAAGTTCTCAAATTATCATATTGAAGATAAGTCTACATTAAGGTAACCAGAATTCTAAACCATGATGATTTGGGGACAAATCAGTGGAGCGTACTCAAAAAATTTTTCAATTTGAGAACATCCGTGCATTTATGTAAAATATTAATTTATATGTCCAACAAAATTTTTTTTTTTAATCGATAACTAAAATCAGGTATCGAAACATCTTCGTCCAGCTTGATTTCATTACTGAACAGTTTTGATAAATAAAATAACATTACGTAACATACACGCGTAAAATAAATAAACACATGATTATTAAAACTTTTTTTTTTAAAAATATTATTTATAAGACGATTGGATAACTTTAGTATGGTGTTTTTTGCTTTCGCTTGTATTCTCTAAGAAATAAAATAATCTTGATTAGTAAAAAAATCATGCGTATTACTCACTCTTTGACATTTCACTGCATATATAAAAAAAAGATGAAATGTTTTCGGTGAAATTCAAACACATTTGAGGGCATATGCTAAGTTTTGGGGACATTTTCTGTTTCTTAAAGTTTTTGAGGACAACAATCTTAATGACTGCCCTCAAGATTTGAGGACGTTAGGTCACCTTAGTCTGCATAGTTAAAAATAACTTCAGTTTAGTTTTTTAATTTTACTGATTTCTTTTATCTATCCTTAGCAAGGAGAAACAGCTCACGACATTGCTGAAAGGAAAGAATTCACAGAAGTGGTTAAATTGATGGACAATCCACCCGTGACTTTAATTCATGTGCAAGATCAGCAGTCTAAAAAACATTCAAAATCTTCAAAGAAAAGAGAAAAGGACAGCGGTACATCGCAGGAAAGTGCCATCAAAGAAAAAAAGGACAAACACAAAAAGGTTTGACCTCATTCATTTTTAAAAGCTGAGTCGCCTTTCAATTCCACCATTATAGGTTATATAAATTTGATAACAAATACCAGGAAATAAAACTATGCGGTCTGGGTAAAAATAAGTATAATGACAGAACACATTGAGTTAGTTATTTAGGTGCAATCTTTCTCTCAGCCTGGAAAAACAGTTTGAATATCTTTTTGCTAAAAATTACTATTTGATTTTAAACCAAGTATACTTATGTGATTTATTTGCTGTTCACACTTTCATATATATGCTTTTGAATAACTTAGAGGTTTTATTTGCAGAGCAAAAAGCACCACAAAGTTCATTTTAACGAGAAAGAGAAGAAGGGGAATGTCAGTCCGTATGGATGTCACATGTATCCTGACACAAATTACTTTCCTTCCATTAAATTACAGTCACTACCTCAAGAACCATTGAAAAATGGAGAGCAGTATTATGCTGATCTTGCAGGGAATATAAAAAAGGTAAGGGACACCAGCAATTATTTTTTTTCTTTTAGAAAACCAACATTTAAAATATATTCAGTCCCATGGCTGTATCTTTGAAAATAGTCACGAGTTTGTAAAGGTATGACATAGAAATGAGACGAGCTCAGCCCAAACCCCGAGACTGCTGTGGGCTAGTTTGCTGAAAAAAGTTTTCAGGTTACGTCGAGTTCAGACTCAATAAATTTTTTATTAACTTATACTACGTTTATGGCTAACTATACTACGTTTAGGCAAATGTTTGGTATAGTTCTTAAGCATAAAAGATTTAAAATTTATAAATTAATTGTGTTAAAAAGGTTTTAAGGACTAATTACTTTGCTTAGACAAAAAGGACTTTATCCAGCATATATCTGGAAGGTCTAAGGAATTCTAAGTATCTCGGATTGAGTTTTCTGTAGAAGGTTTATTCATCAAAGTTCTGAGAGTTAGTTTCAGCTTTTTCCAAACTTTTTGCTGCTAGCTTTCATACATCAACCAGTTTACCCCATGTTATTGGAGTAATGAAAATGGAAAAATGTTGAATTATCAACTCTAATTAAAACACTTTTATAACTTTTTAACGTAAGGGTAAGTCTTATAAAGCCGCTAATTTTATTAAAAATGAATTAACTGCTCTATTAAATTAATTTTCAAGATGTGATTTTATGAATTTCCAAGGCACTAAACCTGATTTCTGATCAACATAGAAAGAAAGCGTAAAGCATTCCTAAACAGCTCATTGTGGCCAGTAAAGTAAAGGCATGTTGTGGTTACAATTGCACACCAATTGCCTTTAGTTTGCAGACATGGTGGTATCCATTAAACTCCAGCTGAGTGGGCTTCTAGTCATCACCTGGAATAGAACTTCAATACTTTATAATGGAAGCTCAAAGTCTTAAGCTTTGAGCCCTCATGGCTTGCTCCCATAAAGGGTTCTGTGAGCATAAGGCATAAAATTTTCTTTGACGTTGTAACATTATCTCAATTTCAATGAAAAGCCACTTTATTAAATTTTAAAATAAACTAATACGAGCCTATATGCCTTATGAACAGAGAATTTTACTATTCAACAAATATAACTCAAATTAAACAAAAAAGTTATATTTTGAGACTTTTTTACATCAAATATTGCGGATGTTTCCAGTTATAATTTGAAAAAATGGAATTCAATTATTGGACTATGGACTGCTTATTTCTTTCATTATTGAAAAACTTCGATATTTAGTATAATATTACCATGTTGCACGTGAGTCATGTATAAAAAATAATTTAAAATGTAAAAAGTTAATACGCAATTTCAGCAATTATATCTAAGTTTAAAATGCGGAAGCAAAGCAGTTTTGTTTTTGATCTGTTTTTCAAAGATATAAATTATCTGTTACTACTACAAATGTAAATAATTCAAAAATCATGTATTCAATATCTAGTCTATCATTTCTTTAAATTTTAATCTATAACAACTGAATTACATTTTTGGAAAATTATGACAAAAATAGCCCACATAAAATGTGTTAAAAAAAATATTTGTTTTTTACATTTCTTGATTTGTTTTGATTATTAATATTGAATTCAAATACATTGATGCCAAGTTTATCAAAATAATAAACAATTAAAAATCAATTAAAGAAAATCGGAAAGAGATTGAAATGTTCATTTCGCTAATAAATCCACTAGTTTCCTAAGCAAAATACAGCAGACTGTACATTTCTGTTTCTCATTTATTGATTTTACGAATCAATTAAAGAAAACTTTTTGGGACAGTGAGTAGACTAATAGCAAAATACTATTATGTGAATTTCTATTACAGGGTGTGTAGAAAGATTTTTCAACAAAAAATAAGCACCTTTCAAATACTTTTTAAGCAGTCAAAAAACATTTTAAATCACTTTCCAAAAAAAATCATAATTAGGATTTATGCAGTAATAAAAATTATCTTTTTCTATCATTTAAAGTTCTTAAGTTATAAACATAAAATCAATAAAATTCAAAAACATTTTCAAAAACTTTACATAATCATGATAAAATAACTAGTTTCTGATAAATATTCCAGAGAAAATTACGAAAATCAAGCATTTTTCGTAATTTAGAACGACAATCAAGAGGGTAAAGAAAAAATCTCTTTTAAAAAAAGCACCTTTAAGGGCTTTAAAAAACGTAAATCAAAAATAAGTACCTTTAAGCACTTTTCAAAAACGCTACAAACCCTGTATTATACAAATCCATATATATTTTTTAAAAAAATGCAAAATTTTATCTAAAAGAAACATTTTTGAATTTTTAGGGTCCCAGGGGACTCGGATACATGTGTTACTGTGCTCCCTTCTTCAATCACGTGGAGAAGAAGCTGGATGCCAACAAAAAAGAGCTCCTGGACCACATAGACAGCCGGAACGAAGATCTGAAGGCTAAAATCACTCACCTCGAACAAAGAACGCATGACCAACTCTTCAATCTCAATCAGAGAATGAAGGAGAGTCTGGCCCTAGAGAGAGGGGAGTGTGCAGAACGGATAGACCGAAGACTTTTCCGTGAGAGACGGGAATTAGAACAGCAGCAAGAAAACTGTGCCAAGCTTCTGAAATCAGAAATGAAGTCCTTGATGAGTACCACCCAAAGTGGCCACCCACAAAGCAATGGATACTGTAAAAATACCCTACCTAATGGAAATCCAAACCACCACATGCACAATAACTATTTTCTAACCAGATCAAAATCAGAAGACATGCTGTCCGAAACGAACAGTAACCACAACAGCGTGTCAATGCTATCGAGCACTATAACGGGTATGTCGAGATTCACAAATAACAGCAATTATAACAGGATACACTTGAACCCAGCTCAGTGTGGCACAAAACCAAAAGGAAATCACCACATGCCTAACATATCCAGATTAAAAATGAAATTACTCGGTTACCCCGAGCTGAAGCGGGAAAGTCGAAGTGAAGGCGATTTGACGAGCTGCCTCACAGATAGAACAGACTATAATTCGAATGCTTCTGTGTCAATTGCCAATTCAGCAGCATCAAAACCAAGTTTCATAGATACAAGGGACACTCCAAACAGTAGGCTATATGCAAATGTTTCAAAAGATTCACAAACTCGAAATACTAGTTCAGGAGCAAGTGGTGCAATCTGGCGGAATCACTCTTACGGCCAAACTCCGGATCGGACAGAAAATCAATTTGAACATTATGATAATAAGAAATCTGGTTTTCTAACAGACGCTTCCAAAAGTCAGGGAAATTATAAGACAATAAAGCCACCTTTTTGTACAATTAGTCAAGACAAAAATAGAACTTTATCAGTAGAGGCTAAGCCAATTGAATTTAAAACGCCACATAGAACTCAAACAAATGGCTTACCAATGCTGCAAAAAGATACTTTGCCATCAAACAATCACAATGGACATATTAATGAAGGTAACACAATGTTGCCACCTACACTTGACAATGATGGATCCAGTTTCGTTTAATTTACTATAAAATTATGTAAAAAAATAAATTATTTTTCATTTCCTACTTTGTTTAAGTTTATTATTAATTGAAGTCAGATTTTCTTTTCTTCTTAAAAATGGAATAAACAATAATTAAGAATTATTTTTTATTTAAGGTATCATTTAAGCATTAAAATTAATTTTGTATTCAGTCTTAATTTATTATATTCAGTTTTTTGGTCACCACAAAATCATGAGGTACATAACTTATTAAAATATATCTAAAACAAACAATGTCTTTATTCATTAAACTGTTAAAACTTTTTTTTTGTCTTACATGATTCATTAAAAGTATTTAATGAAACTTTCTAATTAAATTTTACTGCAAAATTTAATTTTCTTTCCAGAATTATTTTTAAATTTTTTTAGAAGTTAATAGAATATCTGTATTAACGTATAACTAAGTAAAAAAAAAAATAAATAAATAAAAATACTTAAAATCTAAAAAAAATTAATTTGGGTAAGAAGGTTCTATCAAACATATTTAAGATGAAACAAAAGATAATTCAAAATATTAAATAGTGATTTACTAAAAGGGTAATTTTGAATACAACTGCAAAATCTGGAGAATTACTTAAGCAGCTTGGAAACAAAATAGATTCCTTTCATTTTTTTTTATACCTGGATAACCAAACAAAAATATATAATACGAGCCTCCTCAAACTAAAATTTTGAAATTCAAAAATGATGTTAACAGTCAACAAATATTATTGAATTTGCTGATTCAAATAACTTGAAATTTGTACACAAATATTTTCCGTATTTATGAAATAGCCTATTGTGAATGATTTGACATACAATATAAGTTTACATTAACTTAACATAAAATTTAAATAGCAGTATTAAAAGAAATATTTACTCAGCTAGAACAATTAAAAACACTAAATATTTTATTACTTCTTTCTTCATACATAACAAATATACTGGATTTTTAACAAACACCCTTAAAAAAATAATTATTAATTAATATTTATTTTCAATCAGGATCATTAGGTGATGATTTTATCCAAGGATCATTGTAATTCTCTATGGTCAAACCTTTGAAGACTTGAAATTTAACAGGATAGTTGCCAGTACCAGTTACTTTCCCAACAGACTTGACAGTCACTCTATCAACCAATAAGAAACGATCATTGTCTGGACTGAGACCTTTTACAGTATCCACTTCATCTCCTTCACCTATCTGAAAGAATTTAGTTACAATTAGTTTTATTTGGCACTGATTAATATATCAGGGTTTGAAGAAACCCAACACAGACAGGTTTTTCTTCATTTCAATCAAGTATAAAAGTGGGAAAAGAACTGTGGAGGAGAGTGTGTGTGAGAGAGAAGTTGGCTGGCTGCCAAAAAGGATTTGAACACTCTAAGATCATCGTCTAACCACCATAAAAAAGGCTATCACAGAACAAAAAATCTGCTAATACTTATCAAAGGAAATTATGAAAAAATAAAATAGAAAAGCATGTGAAACTATTACACACAAAAAGATGACACATAAATTACTTATACTTCTTAAAAGGGTATTTTTCAAACAATATATGTACATTAACAGCCGAACAAAATATTAAGTCTTATATAGGAATCATTATAAATGAGCATTAAATAATAATAAAATTTAGACATTTTATTTCATCTAAAGTTTAGAAAGCCGGAAGAATCTCATGCATGTTTAATATTTTAACTCACTTTATTACCTTAATAAAAGAATGTATTTAAGACATTTTATTTATCAATTAAAATATAGGATTTCCTTCAATGAAAATGTAAACTTATTTTACCATATACCTAACAATAATAAGAACACTGTAACACCAAATCGAGAAATTAATTTCCGATATACGATAGCGGTGGCATGTTATCTATGCGATTTGTAGATTGATTTTAATATTTCTGCTAGTTTTAAGGAATGAATAGTCGAATTAACATTCCATAATTGAATGAAAAATGTTTAAAAGAAATGAGGGAATAATTATTATAAATAATTATTCCCTCATTAATGATAAATATTGAAAAGTTCTACCAATAACACTAACTGGTCAATAAATATTTTGTATTTTTCTAAAATACAATTATTTCATAAAATGAGTAATTTTTAACGTGACTGTTTAATTATAATTTTATTGAAATTTTTTTTATCCAGTTCTTCATTATAAAAGAAATCAGACCCATTCATTACTATTTAAAATTTTTATGTCAACCCAGTTCTGACAGTTAGACTCCTGTACGAATTCATTTAATTTGTCTAAATTCATAGTATTTTTTGCCAATTTTAATTTATTTAATAAATTTGTTAAAACATACATTTCAGTAAAGTAGAAAGGTCATTTTGGGGGGGGGATAGGGAGTGCTGGGGTAAAGGAGAAACCCCGTGCCTAATTGGACACTGCATATCAAAAACTTTCTAATTTCAATATTACAATGAGATTTTGCAATTAACCCTTTTCTCTGGATGACATTTTAGACAAAAAGAGGATATATGTTGCCACAATACTTAATCAAAGTTAGGCAATTTTGCTAATAATTATCAAGTGGTTCTGAAAAACTATGAAACTAATAGGGTGACCCGGGGTAATTCACGATCACTCTGTTTCTGGGGTAAATAATGATCACCTAAGTTTTATTTTAAAAAAATAATATTTTTTTTTAAATTTGAGACATGGACAAGAATGCTACATTTACTTAATAACAGTTTTTTGTTTAATCTAACGAAATAAGTATCTTTTAAAATGCTTTCTGTATTTTCCATGGACTGCACATAGTGCATAATACCTNAAATTTTCATGTCCCCAAGTCAACCCAGTTCTGACAGTTAGACTCCTGTACGAATTCATTTAATTTGTCTAAATTCATAGTATTTTTTGCCAATTTTAATTTATTTAATAAATTTGTTAAAACATACATTTCAGTAAAGTAGTAAGGTCATTTTGGGGGGGGGGGATAGGGAGTGCTCAGGTAAAGGAGAAACCCTGTGCCTAATTGGACACTGCATATCAAAAACTTTCTAATTTCAATATTACAATGAGATTTTGCAATTTACCCCTTTTTCTGGATGAAATTTAAGACAAAAAGAGGATATATGTTGCTACAATACTTAATCAAAGTTAGGCAATTTTACTAATAATTATCAAGTGGTTCTGAAAAACTATGAAACCAATAAATTTAAGATGCACAGAAAAAAATTAAAGCTTAATTGTATTGCAAAAATATAGAAATTTATTCTAAAATTTAACAAAGTATTGAACATTTTATTTTACCAGCGATTTTATTAAATACTCACATTTATAGATTTTTTCGAAACTAACGCTCCATTCAATCTCAAGTTGTTAGCATAAAACTCCTTTTCAACTTTCCTTAAATAGAAAGAAAAATTATTCAACACATACACAATTCCAAAAGGAAGAAATATTTTGACAATTTTTAACAATTCTTAATTGAATTGTATTTAGGCTGGACAAAATTTTGACTTTAACAGTACAAAAGATGAATGCAGATACATTGCTGCAAATTCCGACTAAATCATATGCAATGGCATTTTAGGTTAAGACATTTAACATTTCTGTAAAAAGCGGTTGTGAGCCAAGAGGGTCCATAAAACAAAGAAAAAGGAAGACAAATCCTAAGAGATCATTTTGTAACCACGATCTCCTTTTAACTCGAAAGTTTTTGCACAGAAACCTGACACCACAAGGTTATCTCAATGGAACACAAATTTAAGCATTCGACATTAAATTACATCGAAAATTTTGGAATTTCCCCCATTTTTTGAGCATTAATTGAAAAGAGTTGAAATAATAAGTATATGAAAGTGCTTGAAGATTTTGATTTCTGATATCGACAGTTAAATTTGACTAATTTTGAAATTTTTTCCTCCAATTATCAATGCAGTCAATGATCTGTTTTGGCTTCTGATAGTGTAAAGCTTCATATCCATGCAAGTATGAAGCTAAAGTTTCCCACACTTTACAAGTGAAATGATTAAATGAATGATAAAAATTGTAAGGAAACTAGAGAATAGTAATTCAAAATTAAAAAAACACAATTTTTATTTGATCATTTTGAAATGTTTATGAAATATTGTTATCATTTATTGAAGCTTATGTGCAAAATTTTACAATAAAATCTTAATTTCTTGTAAAATTACATTATTTTTTCAAAACAACTTTATTACTGAGTTTTAAATACTATTGTTCTTAGATTTTACATTAATACTCGGCTAATACTGTAATAAAAACAAGTGATTACAGAAACTAAATTAAATATATCTAAGCAAAATTTTTTGACTGTCAAATATATTATGATGGTAATGTATGGAGGAATATTTTATTTTATATTCTTTTAAAAGATATATTTTTAATAGAAATATATTTAATTTTAAGAATAAAAATAATAAAAAAAATTAACGTTTTTTTAAAAAAAGTTTTGTTTGCCATTTTACCATTTTTTTAAAAAAATTTTGATACTTGCGATAAAATATTATCTAAAGAACACTGTTATTCTGTCAATACATTCTAAAAAATTCTATCTTTGTTTGTTTTTTAACAACTACAGAAAACAAAAATAATACAAATTAATGAGTTGAGTTGAGAATTACGTTAAAAAGTAATTGTTATTTATTTATTACAACCACATTAAAAGTTTTAGTTTTTTGTTTGGAAAGAATTAAATTTTATTATTGAATAATGAACTTTTCAAGCAACTCCATTATTAGAATATTATTATCACTCCATTTTCAAACAACTCTCCATTATTATACATTAAAATAAAATAATTATTGAAGTATTTTAAAGTGGGCATTTTATTATTTCCTGCATTATTATATTATTACCTAAATGTTGTCCACAAAAGTGCTTGGGTAATGTTAAAATTAACTATACTTTTGTTAAATAAAAGGGATCTACAAAAATGCAAAATTTTAGGGGCCATGGCTAATTTTTAAGCGTTATGTTATGTAATAGTATTTAGTGTATTGGCTTTTTGCTGTTATGCTAGATTTTACTATAGTATTGGGTGTCAGTTACGATCTCTAAGTGCCTATGGCAAACAAGATTTATAAACCTAAGCTTAAATGAATACTTAAAATAAATAAATAAATTTTGCATTCTTTTAAAAAAAAAAAAAATTCTGGTAGATAACTTTTCAAACATTTTACAGAAACATCTCTTGTGTAACTCAAAAAGCTTTGCCACAAACAAATCATTTATACAATAAAAGAATTAGCTCAAAATGGTGTTAATGACCGTGGGAAACTTTTCTAGCTAATTAATCAATATTGCTTTAATAATGAGTCATAATGCAGACTATGTTCATCGAGAAAATCCACTCTATGGAGCAAAAGAGGGATTTGCAAAAAAAAAAAACAAAAAAACATTCGGGTTACGAAATGACAGTTTCACAATTACCTCCAATTTTTTTTTCTCTATAGGATGGTCACGAAGGTTAGTGCTCTCTAATTTATACTGGATAATTTAAAGAAGTTTATAATTAATAAGGTTAATATTTAATTATGCAATTTTAATGATTTTAGAAAATTAACTTTTACTTAAGGGGGAAAAAAAGGAGAGAGATAGAGAGAAAGAAACATGAATTGCCTGTTTTGCACAGATTTGCATGTGGTAAAAATTATGTAAATTAACAAAGAAGTTCTTAGAAAAATTATTTAAAATAACATACAATTAATTCAATGATTTTATATAGAATTTAATTACTTTAGTTGGGGATCCATTGTTTTTTTTAAATCAAATTTTGAAAGAGTTTGTCTATTGGTTTTTTAGATGAATAAACATAAACTTAAAAAATTTACAAATTGCTACACTAAAAACTTAATAAATAAACAAAATAATTTGAACAGAATTATACAGATTTCATATAATATCTTAATATCACAAAAGGTTTCACATTATTTAAATCAAAATATTTAAAAGACTTACTTTTTTGTCACACCCAATGCAGCTTTAATCACTGTATCAATGCGCATGGATGGAATCGTTCTACTTGTGATGTTATAGTTGTCCTCAATAACATCATCTTCCATAGTCTCAAATGACTCATCTTCATCGTTATCACTTTCTTCTTCCTATGAGCATATATTAGTATTTTCAAGTTATTCAAACTTTACTTTCCAGGTTGAATTTGATTCAAAGAATTATAATAAAATCAGACATAAAGGAAAGTATGGATGGGGCAAATTTTTGATTAATTAAGCAAATGAGTAATAAATTTGTAGAGTAAATGTACATTGAAAAATCATAAATTAACATAAAATATGAAATAATAATAAAAAAATGGACTTATAAGTGATATCAGTAAAAGTTGCCAAGACCTCCAAAAAATAATTCCAAATAGCTGAGAATTTTTTTCTAAAAGCAAAGTAAATTTTTTTCTGGGTTCCCACGACCTGAATAAAATAAATGAGTGGTAGCTAAGATTTTTCAAGACTACAGAAAAACACTGAAATTTATCTCTCATTTGTGAATGACGAAAATATTTCCAAGTTATTTTTTGAACCCATATATATATTTCTTTAGAATTAAATATTTATTGACAGCGTAAAACATCTAGATAAATCTCATTTTTGCTACCACTTTAAAAAAATTTCCACCCCTTATATATCTATTAATAAATTTCATTGGGGAGGAACAGATTCAAAGTTTTAATGTACATACACACCCAGAAGCAGAAAGTGCCTAAAACTGTTACGTATGTCGCAGAACAAACGAAGTCCTGCAGAACAATTTGTATCTTGAATAAGTGACATGGATTTTCCAGTGAACTCCTCCCCCGCCTCTAGTAGTCTTGCATAACAATCCCCAACCCTAATCTCATACATTCTTCTATAGACCATAATGATCTGAAGGTTTAATAGCAGTTGGAACAACAGATCAGCGGATGTTTGTGATTGCAAATGGTGTACCATCTGCGCACTTGTCAATTCAAAAGATTTTTAAGGCAGCGCTTATTTTAATGTTCGGACATTCATATCATCAGGGGTCTATCTAGGTTTTTCTGACAGGTACCTATTTTGTGAAAATTTAGACATGATTTGTGAAAAATTAAAAATTATATTAAAAAATCAACACAAAAATATGGATTTATCGTTTGTTAAGGGATACAAAAATGAAATTTTAAGAAAAAGTATTTTGTGAAACTACCGTTTTTCCTAAAGTTGAATTTGTGAAGGTACCGCTAAACGGTAGTAAATTCGGCCTGGACAGACCCCTGATCATAGGCATTATATAAATTCATCATCAACAAAATTTTGTACTTCAAAAGTGCTTGAAAAAGTAACAAATCAAGAACATTTGCCTTGGCTTAAAAATTAATGTAGTGTATCTGTGTATGATCCTGTTTTTTAATAAATGAAAATTTATTTTAAAGTAAACTTGATTTTATTTCACTGTGAAATGTTTGCAGAACAATTGTATAAATAAGTAAGTCCTGTTGCAGAACATTTGAAAATATTCTGCTTATGGGTATACACATATATACCAGTGTTTGAGCAGACCTTACATATAAATACCAGTGTTTGAATTTAATGTGAATGAATAGTTCCAGATCTGAAGAAACACTCATTTAACTGTGAAAATGTACAGGTGAATGAAATCTTTTAGCAACTTATCTTTAGGACTTGACTAAATTTTTTTCATATGGGAAGATTTCCGTATCGTGATCTGGGGCAGAATAATTGCCAAGTCTTGGCAACTTCTGTTCAATGACTCACGAGAAACAATAAAAAATAAATTTAAAAATAAAAAAAAAAACGTCACAGAAAGTGACCATGTCGAAAGGTATAACTCGTAGGCACTCCCAGGCAAACACCTAAATTTTTTTTTTTAATTGCAAGTTTAGAATCTATTTAGCACCTTGGCGATTGTAGTTGGCTCAACAGATCAGAATACTGAAATATCCCTTCTATCCGTAGAAATGGTACATACATCGTGACAGGAAATTTTATTTTATTCACAGTATAGAGACAAAGTATATCGCAAGAAGATGTATAAATTTCCTAATATTTAAAGTACTATACATTTTCAGATGATGCATGAACTCATCATTAAATTATTTACGATACATGTCGAATTAAGAGCATAAAATAGGAGATAAAAGTGTAAGGTAGTTCACACCTCTAGAGCCGCTTTTTTAGATTTCTTCTTTTTCGAGTAAGCTCGTAAGGAGTTAATTATATGATTATTTTTAATGTAGCAAGCTTTTGAAGTTTCATCAGTACAGATTTTCACTTTAATGGTATTAAAGGATGTTAAAGTTCCATTGCATCGAAAAGATGAAAGGGTACAGTTATATTTCGGCGTACAAAAATAAGAAATCCTCAAAAAGGTACTTCGTATACATGGAATTGAGCGCATCTCAAAACTTATTATAAATTGACATTAATTGAACACAAAATAAATAGATTCTTAAATTTCACTAGTAAATGTTAATTATATATATATACAAAGAATAATTTATTATTTAACAAAACAATTATTTACATTAAGATACTGATTTGAATGTTAGTCGAGAGATTAAAGTAAGCTCATTTCTGCAGTCAGAATCAAAATAAACAAAATGAGAGTTATTGGTTACAGTTTCAGTTACTTGCAGTTCTTACTCAATTACGGTCAGCGTTAACTTAGCAATGAAGCGCTATTTAAACTTTATCCGCGTTAATTACTAATAATTAATGATTGAAAATATTTATATCAAGCGATAAATCAATAAACTATAATTATTAATCGCGTGCAAAATTATTAATTTTTCACCGGTTGTCGACGCTTTTTTAACTGCTAACTGTTTTCTTTATTTCGGAATCGGTCGAATGACAAGCATTTTTCGTAAACAAGAATACAATCTTGATTGAACTTTTACTTTGGAAGAGAATATAATTTAAAATGGATCTTTTTGCTACTCAAAATATTGAAGGTTATGGCAAGCCGAAGCAATTGAGCTTCAATCCTTATGAGAATAATGAAGGGTGAGTAAAATTAAACATCCGACAATGTAACAGTCAGTCGCGAGTTATCCGAAAAACACAGTGCTTCGTATCTGTTTCTAAAAACTTATTCTGCGATTTTGAAACGTCTGTATAACAGTTCTATGAAAAATCAACTACTCTTTGCATTTGATTGAAAAATTACTCTTCAATTTTTGAAGTGAAGATATTCTCTCTCCTTTTTTATATAATCAAATTGTTCAGAGTTTAAATGTTTTAATGATATTTTTTTATTTGGAATGGAGACTATTTTGTAGCGTTACACCGATTGTATTTTTTGCAATTACATTTTCATTTCGATAATGATTCATTTATATGACATGCATCAGGGAATTAAAATTCTGATGGGTATTGATGTAGTGAATATATTCCTAAGCTCTTGGAAATAGAGAAACATGTCAGCCTGGAGATGGCTTGGAGTTAAAGGCTTCAAGTTTGTTCCTTTCTGTGGTTTTTTGTCTGCTCAGTTGAGGTTGCTAAAACTTGGCGACTATTCTGCTGCAGATCACGATACGGAAATCTTCTCAGCAACTGGATTGCTTTGAGAGTTTACAAGCTTAAAAATGTTTGCTTTTATAATAGTCACTAGTTATAATAGTACTATTCTTCAGAGCAGGCTTCGCCTCACTACATCCTTGTGTGCCTGGAGCTCACCAAGCAGGATTTAGCAGATGATCCATCGACGGTGTTGGATTTTTTGAGGGTGTAACGTCATGGACCTGGTCTAGCACTGCTGGCCAATGGGGGCGTGCAACAACAACACTTATAATTGTCATGAGCTTTTATAATAGTCACTACTTTTCACTTAAAATTTAGAAATTCGAAGAGTGTACCACAGATCCATGTTGCCGAACTCTTTATCTACTTATAATTTTGTACAAAGGGAAAAAATTGTAAATAAAGTGTGGAAAATAAAATACAGATTACGCTGAATGACATTTAATCTTATGATTGAATCTTCACTTTCAAGGACTCAGTTTTTAAAGGTTCAAAAGGATGATCTCAAATATGTTAATTAATTAGTGCAGACGATATTTTAAGTTACGAAATCAGGCATAAAGGTGTACTTGCTCTGAATAGGCATACCTTTTTTTAGACAGATTCGGCTCTCTAACAACCTAAATATAGGAGTAGCCGCAATTTGGGAATTTGGCTTGGCAATTTGGGCTTGGTCAGGAGACCGGTCCATATTTTGGAGCCTTAAATGTAAATGGCAAATTATAAAATTGGAGTGAAATCAATGGAATTTTGAAAAAGTTAAGATTCAATTTATCAGAAACTGTTTGACAAATTTTGTATTTTACTATATAAAACTACATTGTTTAATATGATGTAAAAAATTTTATATCTTATAATTCAAATTTTTTTTTTGACTATTATTGAAAAAAATAATAAAAACTAATAAATATTTACTGAAAGTTTTGTTTTGCATGGAATTATTATTGGATAAACAAATTTTATAATTGTGTTAAAAATTTTTTATTATCTTAAAAATTTGCAAGATATGGTGAAAAACGCCAAAATTAAGGAGTCCTAACTTTATCTACTGATAAAATTAGTGTCATATTTCGCAGATGCCGGCTACCTTCTATATTTCGGAGGTTGAAAATCTGAATCTGACAACAAAAAAAAGTATTTATTCTGTATAGTTTTTGTGCCTAATTCCACTTGAGTCATTAAGATTGAAACTTAGAACATGAAGATCCAATCATTAGATCAAAAGTTATTTACGATGGTCTTTTTTTTTAAAAATTTAATTTAATTTTTTTATGCTCTGTACATATTAAAAACCGGACAAATAAATGTTTCAGATCATTCCCACAATATTGCTGTACCTGATTACACCAATATTTTGCATATTAGTAGATTTTCATTTCTATGAAAAAAATTACTGTGAAAATATTTATAGTTTGCACATTACCTTGCTAAATTGCTGAGATAAAAAGAGCTTTTTCTATGCTTTAGGGAAGAAAAAACTCATATGGAAATATAAAACAATATTTCTTTCTTTTAGGGTTCAAACTAGATTTTAATAATCATTTATTTTTAATACATTTTAATTTCTTTTGTAAGAACCAGTGCATACTTATGCAGAGAGTTGAATGCCATCACCAGTGCAGAATTATGCATCATTCAATACTTTAATTTAATGACGAAAATATTTTTAATTTCTCTAGGAGCATTGTTGCAATAAGAGGTGATGATTTTGTGGTAATTGGTGCTGATACAAGGCTCTCAACTGGCTACAGTATTTTATCTCGGGACTGTCCAAAACTTTTCAAGTTGTAAGTTTTTTAATTTATTTTCAAAATTAATCTTTTGGCTTTTTTTAAAAGTTTGTCAGTTTGTGTGGGTACATGTTGATTTTAATGTATGAATGAATTTTTATTTTTAATGGCTATCCCATGTTCTGAATGGTATATTATTTTTTCATTGTTTTTGTTAATTCTGATTATCTTTCTTAGAATCAAATATGGTTAAGCCTATTTTATTGTTTTGAAAAACTTATTATCTCTGTTACTTATGACAAAAAAAGTAACTTGTAAGAGTCAGATTATTATCTCACCTTCAATTAAATATGCTAAAATTTTATTGTTTAGAAAACATTATTCTTAGGATATGTTTTTTCATTAACATTTATCCTTGTTACTGGACGAAAATAAATTGCTACATTTTGATTTTCATCCTTCCTAAATCATTAAACAATTTTTAATGCAAGTAAATTTATCCATTTTGTACTATAATAAAAAATTATCTTTGTTAGTGCAGAGAAATAAGTTGAGTTTATGAAAGCTTAGTAACAATTGAACATCCCTGCTAATAGTTTTGTTCATTTCAGGGTTTGTAAAAGCCCAGGTTTTTATGAAAAAACCAAGGGTTTTTTCTTATCTCTGATTTTCTTATGAAAAAGAAGAAAAAAACTAATTTTGCCTAGGGATAACTAGGTTTTATTGATTTTTTTCACGAAGAGATTCAATTTTTCCCAAAGTAAATTTTTACAAACATATTATACATGCATTCTTATGTATACTAAATATAAACATAAGATATAGTACATTCTGAAAAAATCTTGCTTGATTTCTCGATTATTACCAAAGGAATTAATAAAAAATAAATGAATAATTGTTATAAAAGCAACTGTTTCGGTCATATTTCTTTTATAAATGTATAGTGAAATGCATAATGATAAATTAACTGAAATGATTTTTTGTAAAATGCAAAGCATAATATGTTATGCGTTTAAGTTTAAATTATAAACAAACACATTAGTTGCTTTAAAACTAATTAATAGAATTTCTATATGCTTTGCATACACCCATGAAAGGAAAGTATATATTTACAGCATATATTATGTTTATTAGAATTTTTTACAGTGTATGAATTCTTTATATGTCTTACAATACAAAAAATTACAAACCATATATATATATTATATTATGTACAAAAAATTATAAACTTTTATTATACTTTTTGCTTTTAAAATAAATGAAAAAAGATAATAAATTTAGTCATTTTACTAAAATCAGATTACTAAAATATGTTTTACTTCATATGATTTTGTATAAAAAAAATTATTAAATATTGTTAATTTATAAAAGTCCCTGAAAGGATTTTTCGAAATGAGAGATTTCTGAGAGAAAAATCCCTACAAAAAATTAAGGCAATTAAAGTGAGGTGTGAAAATCATTGCAAACTGTGTGTGCTCGCTAAAATGTTTATACAAGATCTTGTTTCAGAAGCTTTTTGTCGAAGAGGGGGATAAAAAATGTGGATTTAAATTGGTCTGGCTTCAACTTAGTTCGAAATGAGAAGGGCAGGAACAAATTTTATCCAAGGATAGGAAATTGTAGGACGTCATGAATTCCTGGTTTGGGGGAAAATTCTAAGTTAGTGTTGAATTGATTCCTTTCAGTGAAACATTAAGAGCATAGGTTTAAAGCATTATCTGTGACATTTTTATTCATCATGGATCATTTTTTGTTTTTCGTTAAATGAATGTTGTGTGTGTGTGTTGGCACTTCTCGCTACTTAAAAAAATGTATAAGCCTAAAAATACCTCTCACAATTTAAAGATTCTTACACTAAAGAATTTTCTTATATTATGTCTATTAAAGGCACTTTTCCTTTATGCACTGATTGTGGTACAGATATCAATATATCCCATGATGGGAGAAGTGATTTTGTTCTTCATTCAAAGTTTTGGTTTTGGTTAATCCCATCATAGCTACATCTAATGATAATTTTAGTAAATTAAAGAATCTTATTGATAATTTTAGTAAATTAAAGAATCTCCATGTTGTTATGATCAAAGAGAACATTCATTCAATCAAAACAAGAGACCATTGATTTTATTCTCTCCTAATTCTGTGAGTTACAGATGGAGAACTTATTGTCAAAGATTATTGATGAAAGTAGAACAGTGGTCTTCAGTCGGTCAAATAAAAAATATTTTAGAGAAAAAGAAATTTAGTAAATTGGCTGTGTTATGTTTTTCTTGCTAGTAATACAACATTAAATACTAAATGGGAACAAATCTCAAGTCAAGTGAAGAAAAATTGAGCTAATTATCGATCTTCTCTATCTTATCAGAATTTAAAAAATCTTATGTTGCTAATATGTGCCAATAGTAGAAAATGCTTTGAAAATTTCAGTAGAGTTTTTCGTCAAAAAATAAATTTGCTTCATATTTATCTTTAAAAGATTAATTTATTTTTATTTTGTTAAATCGTTATTGCATTTTCATTGTGTAAAAATAAATTCTTATTAGCTATAATTTTTTGAGTTGTTTATTCAAGTGAAGATTTAAATATAATATAATAAATATATTAAATTAATAAGATAAATATATTAAATTTTTAATATTATCTTTTTTAATTCGTAAACATATTTTCAGTTTTTTGTCTGTTTTTATTCTTTTAAATAAGGTATAAAATATATTTTTAGGTATTTTCATTTCTTATTTTGAAAAATCTCTAATTTTTAAAAAATCATTGTTTGATAAAAAAAATTTGTGTTTAGAGTTTCTCCCAAAGAACCTCCTAATTGTGATTTTGTGATGTTGGCAACTAAGCTGATATAAAACGCGTTGTTACATCCTTTGTGAATTATAATATTCCTGTTTTCTTATTTGAATAAATTGGTTAAACTTGAAAGACTTGTTAAATTCATGGTCTTTATTGAAAGTATTAAAAAAAAAAAAATTTATTTCAGGTCAAATAAAACCATTATGGGTTTAACTGGATGCTGGTGTGATGCTCTCACTCTTTCTAGGCTTGTTGAAGCTAGGATGAAGGTATACTATTTTTGTGTGAATTTTGTGTATGTTATTTACAAATGACACTGCGAGAATCAGACCGATAGTAAAATGCCCTTAAAAGAATCACGATTTCATTTAAATGTTAAAAAAATAAATAGGTACTGGTCTTTTTCAACTAAAATTATTTCTGATTCTATGGAAGAAAAGTATTGTGAAAAGTATTATTACAAAAGTATTGTGAATATATTTGTGGAATTCAAATCATTTAATTAATATTTTGCTTGAGCGGAAAAATAGACTGTCAAAAGTGCCTCCTTTGTATTTTTACTTTGCTACAAACTATTTTCGAGATCCAAAATTTTAATTCAGTGTTAATTATGGTTCATGCATCAAAACTGTGCTAAGATGTAGCGCTCTTATTTTATTTTAAGGATCAAATCTTTGTGTAGAAAACTTTTGATTATTTCTTTTAAAAATCCTCAAAATTAGTTAGAAATGAAAAAAAATATAAAGAATTTTTGTGCTGAATATTGATTATTATATTTAATTTTTTAGATGTATATGCACGAGCACAACAAACAAATAAGTACTCCTGCGCTTGCTCAGTTGCTCTCATCTTTGTTATATTATAAAAGATTCTTTCCTTATTATGTACATTCTGTGGTAGCTGGTTTAGATAATGAAGGTAATTACTTTTTTACTCTTTTGTTTTATTGTCTAAAATGTGTGATTTGAATTTAATATAGTATTCTTGTTTTTGTATGAAGTCTAGGAATGCATTTGACTACAATCAGCTGAATATTCTAGCTAGCTAGCTGTATTCTTTGTAATATTCAGCTGTATTTGATTATTTAAAAAATCTCATTTTATTTTAAATTACATGTTGCATATTAGATGTTTTTTGTGAGGTTTCTATAAAATAAGTTTCTGAAATTTTCTTTGATGAACAGCTTAACATTTATTTAATTTTAACATTTGTTTATGATTGTATTTAATTAAAAATTATTGACTAATCACATTATGATTATTAATTTTTTTAGCATAATTTATTTTTAACTATTCCTTTAAAAAAATTTGAGTGTATATTTTCAGTGTATTTGGTTTTATTTTAGCGAGTGGAGTACCAACTGGCCATGTTTGAACAAACTTATTGCTTTAAAATCAAATATCTGTGAAATTATATTTTTATGTAAATAATTGTACTTGGATTTTTTATTATTTGCTATTTATACCTTTAAATAATATAATTAGGTTTATTATTTAAATTAATTTGAGTTTAAAATTTGTTTTTAATTGCAGGTAAAGGTCGTGTTTACTCTTATGATTCTGTTGGCCACAAATCTGAAACAAGTAACATAGCATTTGGTTCAGCCGCTCATCTACTTCAGCCATTGTTGGATAATCAGGTCGGTACATTTTGATATGCTTGCATGCCACAGGTCCTGGGTTCTATCCTCGGGCCAGGCAAAGGTTGACTCAGACTTTCATTTCTTCAGTTAGTTATTTGATATTCTTTAAAAACAATATTGTAGCTAAAATCTTTCTAACTAAAATGTTTAAAATTTTTATTTAATTACAAATTCTCACAAAATAAATAAAATTATAATTGTTCAAGTTTAATATTCTGCTGAATTTTAAAGAAAGGGAGTCAATTTATCGATTAATATCCAATAAAGAGTAAATTAGTTTAGATCAGAAAACGATATTGAAAAAAAATTATTCTAAATTACTCTGGGCAGAACAAGTCTTTTTTTTTTTCTTCATTGTTGTATTATAATTACTATGTATTTAATGAGCTTTAGTAGTCAGTACCTGTTTTAAATAAACTTCAAATAACATAATAAATAGAAATATAAAACTGTATAGTTTAAAAGTTTCATGCTACTGTTAGATCTTTTTTTTTTTTTTAAAGTCAGTTTTGAATTACAATAATTTTCATTATTTCTTTGTACAAAGCCTTCATTATCAATAAAATCTGACTTAGAAAAATAACATTAAAGATTATATTTATTAATTATATTTTTTAAATTAGCGATTTTTAGAAATAAAAAAATCAAGTGATTTAAATCAATTTAATCATGCCAACCTTCATATAAAATTCAATAAAAAAAAAGTTTATTCAGGAAAAGTATATTTTTCAAAGACTTCTGAGTCAGGTAAACCTGAAAGTCATCGTAACAATGAGTAGCCAGTGAGGTTTACAGTAAATTTTTTCCAACATCTACAATTATTCCATTGTTACTATATTATAACTATAACAATTATTTAATTGCTTGTAATTTAGTTATAATATGCTAAAATTTGAATTGTTCAAAGTACTCTTTCTTTAACAATCTCTTGCTTCCACAAAGCTATTTAATAGACTGGTAATATTTTACTTTGTTGGATATCCATAAAAACTTTCTTGTTATTTTTTATGCATTTAAAAATTTCTTAGGTAGCAGTGTTAGATGGAATATTACATTAAATTTCACTATAATAAAAGTTATTAATCTTTTAATAGTATGTATTGGTTAATCAATCATAAAAATAAAAGAACCCTTTGAGTTTATAAAAATCTTCATATTGAACTAAAATTTAAAAATCACTTTGGGGGGGGGGTGGAAATATGCATAAAACACTATTTGATATTATTGCATCATTTGCTTTGAAGTTTTATATAAGTTTGTTATTGGTAACCTAACTTAGCAGGGCATGGCTTGGGGATTAAATAATAATAAAAAATGTTATTGCTCTTACTAAAAAAAATAAATGACTTAAAATAGTTATGTTGAAAAAGGTGTTAAAGAGAAATTGTTTACAGTTTTTTGGTTAAATTAAAGAGGGGAAAAAAACATTAATGTAGCACAATCCTTTAAATAATCTCAAGGTTGGTTAGCAAATAGAGCTACATTTTTTAAAATATGGCGAAATGGGTGCTGTCTTCAAAACGGAGGCAAAGTTGGCCACTTTCATAAAAACACCTAGGAAGAATACTGGGGTTATAATTTTTAAAAATTTTATGAGGTAAACATTTGTTTTGAAGAACAATAAGTCTTCATAACATTAGAGCAGTGTTTCCCAAACTTACGTCTTTTGTGTACCCTTTCTAAATTTTTCGTAAAGCTGTGTACCACTAATGAAAAAATAAATGTATTTTTTACTATAAAAAAATTGCACTAAAGTTCAAAATCAGCACTGGCTGTTGACACCACTGATTATTAGCTGTTAACTCTGTAAAAAAATAGTCAATAGAAAAATACATAATCATAAATTTTTATGGCTAGCTTTGTTTTTAAATAAAATGCTTTGAAATTTTTGTTTGTTGCAAGATATTTCGCATAAGAACGCGTACCCCCGCTAAACTGTTCCTGTACCCCTTGGGGTACGCGTACCAACACTGCATTAGAGTGAAGTATTTAATTCTATAGACTTTGTCTAGAAAGTTCTTTCATCTAGCACCTGCAAACCATTTCGTCTTTCTTTTCAAACAACTGAAATAAAATTTGTTTACTATTCAGAACCATTTTTTTTTCTTTTTTAATTAACAAGCACATATTTACACTAGTGAACTTATTTCTTAAATAATTTTTGTAACTATTGTTGCATGGAAACTAACAATGCTTTTAATTTCTTCCTAAGTATTGGAAATGTGGACTTACATTTTGTTAATAATTACTTTCCCTCTGAAATTAAAATAAATACCTCATTTCTAGATTGATGGAAAAAATATTGGTGATGTTGTCCCAAAGAAAGAGCCTAAAATTAACATAGATGATTCAGTTACTATAATAAAGGATGTGTTTACTTCAGCTGCTGAAAGAAATATATATTGCGGTGATAGTGTTTTGATGTACATTCTCTCTGCAGATGGTTTGAAAGAAATGTCATTCTCTCTTAGGAAGGATTAAATATTCATATTTGTATACATATGCCTTTTTTTTCTAATAAAATATCATTGTTTATTTAACTTTTTGTTTATTTGTTTGCTGATGTTTCGTTAGTATTTCTTTGTTAAAACCTTTAATAACTAAGTATTGTTTACTATAAAATAATTTACAAAAAAATGTTTTTTTTTTCCAAGTACGAAAAAAGAGTTAAACTACATAAACAAAATTTATACTCTACATTTCATACTTTTTTAGAATTATTCCTAAATTTACACCAGAATATTGTGTATTTAATAATAAAATAATCCAAACATACACTTAATCTGCACTTCATTTAGCCTTTAGCTATTACCTTTAGAAGGGACTGAGTATAAATTAAATATTGTCACTTTTTTTCTCAATATTTATGACACCTCTCCTTTGTCACATAATATTATATTAAGTACAGCAATATGTTACTGATCATATTTCAAATTTTAACCAAGTTTCAATTCTATTTGTGAACAATGATTACTTACGTTATTAAAATACTTATTTTTAAAAAGAAAAAATAATAACTACCAAATGTTGTAAAATGTTACTTATTACAATTTTGAAATAAAAAGTTTAAAATGTAAGTAGCCATTAGACTTGTATACTTTTCCTCATACCTAGCGAGTCGGTGACCGATATCGATAGGTCCTTTTTATTTAATAATCACTTTTTGCTTGGATTTTTTATTAAATCATTGAAAATAAAATTTTCGGAAGTTAATTTAACAAACACTGATGTTTCTTCTAATCTATAGTCAGTAAGTATTAAAATATCGAATAAATATAATTATATCCACGAATAAATTAATATCAAATCGGATGTAATAAATATTTCGGACATTCACCAAAGCGGCTATTTGATTGTCAACAACCACCGATTTCGGTCATTCACAGTAACATGCACATCATTTACATAATAACATCATCAGGACGTTTATTTCATACTTTGCCTAAATAGCATCCGGCATTATATATAATGCCTAGGCAAAGTATATAATACTTATATTTCATACTTTGCCTAAAAACGTCAGGCATTATATATAATGCCGGCATTTCTTACTTTGCTGGTCACATATACATAGCAACTTTGAAATAAGTGAATTATTAAAGAACTCTTCTCCCACATGAATCTTTCGATCAAAAATTAATAGATTCTGAAAGATCTAAATTATGAATAAAGATATTGGACATTTTAATGTAAATTCAGTTTTTAAATTGTCTTTCTGCATTGATATATTTATATCATTANGAATTGTAATAATCTTCTGTTATGTAATAAACTACCGTGTGATCTGTTTTTATCCTAGCAAAATCATATATTACCCCTAAAATTCTTTTGAAAAAAGTTCCTAAAATTTTAAAAAACTTTGCGGCTACCCCTGAATAAGTGAATTATTAAAGAACTCTTCTCCCACATGAATCTTTTGATCCAAAATTAATAGATTCTGAAAGATCAAAATTATGAATAAAGATATCGGACATTTTAATGTAAATTCTGTTTTTAAATTGTCTTTCTGCATTGATATATTTATATCATTAAAATCTGACTTGCCACGTGGCTATTTTCGGGTTTAATTTAGACCTCACAAGAAAAGTACAAAATATTCATAAAGATTCTACTTGAATTTTAATAAAACACATTTTAAATTCATTTATAAATGCCATACTAGCCATGTGGCTTTAACTTTTTGTGATTCATGGCAGGGCGTACAAGGGATCTTGCATTGCTTCTCTTAATTTTAACATTAAACTAACCATTTATTAAAAATTTTCTTGTTAAATTAGGGTTTACAATAAGCAAAAGTATTAGTGTATGAAGCTCCGCTTCATACACTTATTAAAAAGTGACTAAAAAGAACATTGAAAAAGCTGCAACATGAAAAAGTCAAATAGAGTTTTTTATTTGGCAGTGGGGAACAAAAAAAAGAGCTATATATATATCTTCAAGTTCTTGAGCAGCAGTATTCAAAAATTAATACTCTATACATAATTGACTAAATATTCAAGACTTCAGATTCCTTTTGCAGGAATAGAAACCATAAAACCACATTTGAGTCTTACAAAATAATATTGCCACTTTACCCATTGACTCATTTCAAAACATACACAAGGAAAAAACAAATCATAAATAGAATTAAATAAATACTGATTGACATGCATGTACAAAAAAAAAATACATATATAAATAATTAAAAATGAACATCTGCATTAATTGTCTGCATTTTTAAAAACAGTGAAAACATCTCATCATAGATGGAATGCATGTGCTACAAATTGTAAAATCATACAAAAACATTGCATAGAACATGTAGATGATAATAAAAACAGCTGCCTTTAAAATGTTCTAGAATGATTGATAGTCTTCTTGACATGATAAATGGAATCATAGAATAAACATTAAAAGCCAGAAGCAATAAAAAAATATAAGGCTTTCTTTATAATATGGCAAAGAGACAATGACAGTAAGGATGCTTGAATATCATCAGTACACTAGTTACAATTTTTTTTTAATTCATTTGTTGGTTTTGGCTATTTATTACATTTGTTATAAAATGAGTACTCTCTCAATCATACAGTGTTTTATTTTTATAATAAATTTTTGTTTTAGTAAAACTGTCTTTATTAATGGGATATAGCCTACTTTGCATGGCACATTTTCACAATAAATTCATCAAGCAAGCTTCAAAAGTAGAACAGACATTCACTGATTGTTGATGTCAATCCTTCTAGTTCTGGAAGAATTTCAGCGAATGCAGAACTAGTTTACTTCCCATTTCCATTAGATTTAATTTTAATAATTATGTTTGTAAGTATAATTAATTATAACAATAAAATTGTTAAATTAGCATGATATAATAAGAGTATTTTTTTTATCCACTCAGCATTGGACTTCGTAAGTAAAAATGCTAAGCTGCTTTTATGAAAGGGGATATGATTGCCAGAGTTACAGAATTAAAATAGTTTAGAATATCCTTTAAGTCAAAAAAAATACAAAACAACCTAGAATACTTTTTAAAAATTTAATTCTAACACTTTAAATTTTAAAAAATTATACCTTGTACCTAGATTGCCGAATTTTAGAAGGAAATTTTATTCAGTTAGTGTATGGTTTTTAATACATAGAATAATCATTGTTATGTTACTTGCAATTCCAAGTAAAGCTCTGAGTTGTAAAATCTATTTGATGTTGAGTGAGAAAATCTTTGATTGAAACTTGAAGGTGTTTCATAATAGTCTTTCAACTTTGCTGTTTCTCCCAAAGGTATTGTTATTTTCAATTCCACTTTTCTGGAGTGATTCGCCATGTTTCAATAGCGTTTTTGTCTTTTCTTATCTAAAATTATTAATTTAAATGTGCTCATTTTTTTGTATTCATTTTTATAAGGATTCTAAAATTTCATATTGAGGGCAGCTATATATATCATTAAAAAATCAAACATTTACTTATGTGATTACCTAGAGTTAATAATTAAATTTTAAAGGCTTTAAAATATTTTGATTTGAGCAATTTATCTATTTGCAAAAAAAATTCCATTTTGCGACAATCAATTGTTAGGTAAGCTATGATATGTGGTTGCCAATTGAAAAATTCCATGTTCATAATTATATTGAAAAAGCCCCCAAGATTTTATCTTAACATGAGAATTCTGTTAGCAAATAAATTAATTAGTTTAACTTAATAGCAGAAATAAGTGATGCATTCAATTTATAAAAAACTAGAATTTCCTCATTACTATTCTATAAGCAAATTCTCTATAACATATTCGCTAAACTTAAAACTAATGTAAACCTATTTTATTATTTTTTCTTTAAAAGAAAGAGATTGAAAGTGATTTTTTACACTGCAGAGCATAGTTTTTAAATAATTTACTATAAAGTCTTTCCTAGCTTGAATTTTGCTTGGGTCGGTTAAATTGTCTTCAAGTATTTAGATTTAGGTGAATGCAAGAAAGAGAGAGCACTGACATAGCTGTACCAAATCAGAATATTAAAAAAAAATTATAACGTTGGTATGAAAAATCATCAACATGCCAGAATAATTAATATTTAAATCCATTTCAGTATTAAATATCATTTTATGTGACAAATTTGAAAGAAAATATCTAATTGCGGACAACAATGTCAAACGGAGGAACAGTTTGACACTTTGAAAAAGGCACCAATATCTCACCGGACTTTGTGACACTGCTTATTTATAGAGCAACAGATCAGCCTCTCTTAACAACAGTCAGTTCAGTTTCTTTTGATTCTCACCAAAAAGAACAAACAGCTCCCTTCCTCTAACAGAATTCCAGTTCAACACAGGAGATACTGGGCGTCCTTTGTTTCGTGGGAGGGGAAGAATGATGCTTTACAAAATATTATGAAATAGAATAGCTAGAATGGTGTAAATATACTTTTTTTTTTAAAGAAAAGAAAAAATATAGTAAAACAGGATCTCTGTCGAGCTTTATAGCCAGAGCCCTTGTCTTGGCAGTTGAAAAAAAGTGACTTTTGTTCATTTTCAAGGTAGCTGACTGATGGATGTGGCCATGCTCTCTGACGGATTCAGAATAGTCAGATGAGTCAGGTCTGAGTGTAACGTAGTAAAACTATCGTCTGGGGGAGGACACACCTTCTTCTGCATACTGTGAACGAAATTCTGAAAACAGAATAAAAGTAAATCTTAAAATTTTTTTCTGAAATATAATAGAAATACTTGAATTGAACTAAATAAAAAATAATCATTTCCTTCCATTTTTAACTTTATATGGATTGTGAATTGCAAAGAAACTTATCACTGGAAATGATAATGTGTGACATTAGGTGGTTACGTTGTGCATCCTACTAATGCGCATTTAAAAAAAAAGAAAAAAAAGAGTCAAATCTGCTCGATACTTCCGCACGTAAATCATACAGCCAGCATGGCAAGGCTGGTCATGTTTAGATTGCCCAATAGGCAACTGTGTTAGCAATGAATGATCTGTCTGTATCAGGCATACATAATGTCTCGTGTAGCAAACTTGTAACATTAAATACTGTATTAATCTAGTACACCATTGGCAAACTATATCCATTGCAATCAATATTCTTTGCTATGTATATTAATCTCCTTAAAAATTCACAACGCTTTTGAGAAGAACTATAAATTACCACTATTTGTTTAGTTATAATTAAAAATATATTAAGAGAAACCTGTTTTCTGAATTAAATAAAGCAGCACTATATACAATCAGTTGCAGTTTATATAGGGTTCTCCTTTTGAAACACAGCCTTCACTTTGAAAACATTGCAATATTCCATCAATCGGTAAACTCAAAAGACACTGACATTCAAAACTCAGGGTTTGTTTACTTCAGAGGTCCTGTTTATAACTTTTACGATAATCATGAGGTGATTCGCTACGGAGCAAAGCTGTTATGACGCGTGTCATAAATAAGAAATCAGCATTATTTTTTATTTCAAAGTAGTTTTTTAAAGTTTAATTTCACTTATTAATCGTTGGCATCAGTGACATGTAAAATTGAGAATAAGTGAAATATTGCTGGGGATTTCTCTTTTTCATGACTTTGTAACTAAGAATATGTTTGGTCACTTGATAGATGGAACATGTGTTGTCATTCACAGAGAGGCTATTTGGTCCAACATCATGTAGCTTCTTTGGAAATGATTTGTTTCTGATGAAAGGTTGCCTGTCAAGGAAATGAAAGGAAGAAATAATTCATCTGCGTTATCATTCCAAGGGATGTTTCCCAGACCGTAACCAACAGCCCACTGTGCAGCTTAAGTGCGACATAAATAAAATACCTATCTTATCACAAAATCCAATGCCCTGTCAGCACGAGTATTTGGAAATATTGAACCCATCACAAATTATGGTGTCAAGGAGTTACAATGTTCTGCACAACTGAAAATACCCACAGGAAGCATGTCTTTGTGTTTTGTCTGATTGCACATACCTCAACTACATTGAATTGATTTGAATGTCAGCTATGAATTTAAATTGGGAGGTATTCACCAACAAGCTTATTATACACGGAGATGGACCCAAACTGCATCTTTTGAGTTTCGCTATGAGTCAGTTACAGTGGGTGTAATGTCCTTTGGCTTTTAAAAAATTAAAAGTTACTCAAAATAACATTTAGCATATGGTTATAATAATCTTATATAAATTGGTGTTCAAATTCGTTGTGATGTCAACCGACGTCACCTTCCGTCATCACTACGAGTCAACGACGACAGCCTGTAGTTTCTGAATAGCGGCGCTGCCTTACTTTTCCAGAGAGTATATATACCCATTCCTAATAGATGTTCATCGCTAACCTTGTTACGTGCTGTAAGCATGTTATTGTTATGTTATGTTTTATTGTTTTATTAAACTTATACCTTTGTTATTATGTGTCTTATTTGGATACCACCAAGAATATCTCACAATACAATAAAATTAAATTTTATATTTCTAGGATGTTAAAATCTGCCTAAGCTCATCAAGCTAATCTTACATATTTGGTGACGATAATTATTATGGGTCTCAATGTCTGAGTGGTAGAGCTTTGCAGTCCCGGGCCACAGGTTTAGGGCTCTAAAAAAGATGAGCCAGCTTTTCATCCCTTCAGTAGGATGTTAAATGAGTACCAAGCATGTCAAGAACTAAATACTGGGGGTTTTCTGTTTGGCTGACCATCCAACAAGAATATCAGCTAATGCACCCAGTATTATTGCTGAGTAAGCCTGAGAGGAAAAACATGCTCCTTAATGAAGGTAAACTTACTCTCAATTGAAAGGGCAAACTTAAATACTACTATTATTTTTTTTATATTTTGATACATGTAATTTAGCCATTTCAGGAATTATGTATGAAATTTATTGATTTAAAATTTAATATCATCTAATTCAACAGCTAAATAAAAATCAAATGCTATTTCTAACTTAGCATTTAAATAAATAAAAAAAAAGATACGCATTTAGTGAAAAACAAACATATTTGATGACTGATTGATATTTAATGCTGTTGCAAGAACGTTATTTTTATATTATTTATACAAATTTATTGAACCTGTTTTCCTAGTTAATAAACTTAAAATATCATAATTAGAGGCAACTATAAAATATTCGCAGCAGTTGGCATCCCTATCATTTAGAGAAAAAGAGAAAGAAAGAATATTCAGATAAATAATTACTTGAGAAATAACATCTCCATGTGCAGTTCGAACTTGATAAAGATAACGATATTTCTTTTGGCGTTGTTCAGCCCGAGATTCTTGCCTAATTCTTTGCAAATTAAGTTCTCTTGTTCTACGCCTGGGAGGTACCACTAAAAAAATAACATTACTTCATGTTTTTAAACTTATATAATCACAAACGCTAGAAGAACGATTATGAATTAGTTTATTGGATTTGCAACACAGATTTAGCTAACTAAACTCTGAAGAAAGATTAAAGTAGGATGAAAAGTTTTGGAAAAATGAAAAGGTTAAGCTATAATTATTCAAAAATAATTTTTTGCAAAACTAAAATATTTTGTTTGATTTTAAAATATTAGATTAAGAGTGAAAAATTTGATTGACATAATCCGCAATGGAATTAGTTTTAAAATGTTTTGAAATGTTGTCAAAGGGAAAAAAAAAAGATTATTAAAATTTAACTTCCCAATTTATAATTCATTAAGGTTTATAAATAGATAAGCTTCAATAAATAGATAAGACAAAAATGAATGAAATCAAAAAGTTATATTTTGATATACAGTATAGTTTCTTTGAAAAAATTTCACCTTTTCCTTAAAAAACTTTTTACCTCTCATTACGATTGGCTAGAAAGTAGAGTCAATGCCACAAAAGCAAGATAATAAACTCAAATGACATTATAAACTAAGTTTGACATATAGAGTTGAAACATTGTGGAACTCACGTTTAACCAAAGAAAAACTCATTGAGGGAGATAAATTTGAATAAGTATTTTGAATTTTAATTTGCTAAAAGCATGTATTATCAATCTTTTACAATATTTGATAAATTGTTAAGGGATGCCAAGCTTCTTAAATGCTTATTGGTAGTCAACAGTCAGAATTATCATTACTGGACTTAACCTCTGCAATGTGAAGAAATAATTCAAAATTTTAATTCCAAAACATAAAATGTAAGGTCACTGATACAAAACTTACTTTGTTGGTGATGGATACCAATCCCTGTAATTCTCCACTGTGTAAGGGATCCAACCAATATCATAAATGGCCAAACTCCAAGGATAAACCATGAAAACCAGCAAACTGGCAGTGACGTAGAAAGTTTTATTCTATCCCACACCCAATGGATCATTATATATTTTTCTATAAAGTAATCTGCACACACAGCAATAATGGCACCACCATAGATGCTTGTTCCTATAATAGTCAAACCTACAGAAAAAAAAAACAAAAACAACACACATTTTCAATGATAAGAAAATAAAGAATTTAAGGAAAACTTGATGAGTTTTCAATCTGCAGGAAAACATAAAATTTAGCAAGTTTAGTTTTACCACAAAAGTTTACTAAAAGTTTAGTTATTACAAAACAATTTACCTTCAAAACAGTTTAGTTTTACTACAAAAGTTTAGTTATAACAAAAGTTTAGTTTTACTACAAAAAAGAAAAACACTACTTAGCACACATTTTTAATGATAAGAAAATAAAGAATTGAAGGAAAACATATGAGTTTTTGATCTTCAGGAGAACAGAAAATTTAAAAAGTTCAGTTTTACCTTCTTAATCTAATCTGAAGAGCTTAGTGAAAGAGTTTGTTAAGCAATATTTTGAATACCATCAAACTCCAAAGCTTATGAACATGTTAAGTGATATTTTGAATACTCTAAAATTCTAAAGTAATGGAACATATTAAATAATAAATTTAAAATATATTCAAATTCTAAAGCTAATAAACATTTTAAGTAATAAAGTTAAAATAGAAGTGCAAAATTTCAGATAGCTATTTTTAATATGTTTTTACTTAATAGAAATTAAATAATTCAACCACATCTTTAAGTAACATATTTTTACTCATAAGAAACTAAATTATTAAACCTCATCTTTAAATATGGCAGTTATCCTGGAAAAAAAGTGTTTCAAAATTTAAATGAACTTCCTAATGATTCCATAAATTTAATCTTCTGAGCATTAATCACAGCTTCAGTCAAAACTATACAAAAAACTGGTTTTTCTATGTTACACCCACCTAGTCATGACACTCGGACAGTCGAACACTGATTATTAAAGCTCATCAAAATAACATTTTACATGTCACTTTATTTTTTATTATTCCTTACATTTAGCAAAACTTTTAGCACATTAGAGCAAAAATCTTAACACAAAAAATCCAAGAAAGGATTTAATCTTATAATCAAAGCCTATACTTCAACTTGTAGGTAAATGATCTATACTTTGACACATACAACGTATCATTTGTGTTTATTACTTTTAAGAATATCTTGAAAATGAAGGAAATAGGCAAACCACACCATTTTTCTCGGTCTAGTTTCAGTGCACGAAAAAAGTAAATAAATAACTAAATAAAATATAAAAAATAATAAAAGATTAAATTCTTTTGCTCCAAAAAGAAATAAAAAATGTAGATTATACTTAGAAGATTCCTTCTAGGAATTCTACTGCAACAAAATTATTAGGGATGTAACAAATAGTAATTTGGTTGAATTAATTGAAAAAAGAAATTGTTCATAGTTTTAAAAAAAAATTTTAACACTAAATATCACAGTTTCCTAAGTTATTAGTTATCTGTCTTGCCGTACAAAAAAGTAATGATAAAAGAATAAGTCTATCAGTACAGCTCCGTAACAAGACAGTGCTAAAATAAAAACAAAAAAACAGCAAAAAACAAAACAAAAAAAAATGCTCTTAATTCTTTAAACAAACAGTGTTGAAAGAGTGATGAAATTGACTTGTCTGAATATAATTAAAAAAGATCAGCAGTACAAAACTCGTATCTCAGTATAAACTAATAGACTTCAAATTTCACTTTTCCATTAGTCTTCCAGAACATAAATTTGAAAGCTGTGTGCAAGTTTCAGAATTTCAATATGTGTAAAAACTATTTTTAGTGATGTAAAACACAATCTTTGATTTTTCTTTACTAATCTATTTAATTTCCCCCAAAAAACTTTTTCTCAGAATATTTTGCTGAACATTTGGCAAAAAGGGCCAAATATTCCTTACATTCATTACAGTTCAAAGCAAGGCTATAACTTATTGTTAGAAATTTAAATATTTAATATTTTTTTTAAAATAAAAATAAGTATAACCAGAAAAATAAAAATTTGCATTTGTTTTAATTTTTAAACAAACTGTTTCAGTTTTAAAATTTTTTAAAGACTTGGTAACAGAATCACAGGAAATGTAATTATTTGTTGTTTTATTCCAATCAGTTTTTACACATTTGTCAAAAAAGAAAAATATCACAAAATTGCTGATTTCTTAAAAAGTACATTTTTTTTTTAAATATTACATCTGTTAGTTAGTTTCTATTTCCAGAAAAATGCTTTCAGCAAGAGTATATATAGTTTAAAATTAAAGCTTTGTTTTTAAACATAATAAAACACTCATAACGTGACTTTTTATATTTTACTTGGCAAATGAACTTAGAAAAGTTATCTTACAGAATTTTTAAATTAAAAAATTTACTTACTGTACTTGCTAGGTTTATTAGAAAGCAAAACTACACAAATCAATCTTTAAACATTAACTTTTCTGAATGTGAATAATCAAACTCACCCTTTTGCCAGAACAATGTTAGAACAGCACCAGCTAAACCACATCCCATTAGGATGGCAACGACTAGCCATATGGTACTCGGGACGTACCATAAATATGAAACAAGAAGGACAGCCACACCAAGAAATAATCCTGTGTGGAAGCCAGTCATGAACAGTCCAACATACTGTACAAGCATAGTTATCAGACCAAAGAGAACGCCTGCACCAAGAGCAACACCAGCATTACCCGCTGCAGGCAACAAATCCTCTTGCTGGCATATCAAATAGACAAGTATTGTACCAAATGTAAAGCCAGTCAGGAACATCACAGCTTTGAAACATCGATAGCCTACAACAGAAATACAATTAATATTATAATAATTTAAATAATTAAGATAAAAAATTTTTTCTTCTTTTTCCTGACTTTAAAGCAATTAAGACACCGAATTTTAGAAAAATAAAATCTGTAACTATGCACAACTAAAAGTTTGAATTAAATATTAAATAAATGGAACATTTATAAACTATGAATGTAAATAGTAAAATTTAAAGTTAATACATAAATAAAAATAAAATAATAATATGGCTAAAAATTAATACAGGGTTCCCACTCTTTCAATGAAGCAAAAATTAAGCACTTTTAAGGAATTTTTTTGAAAAAATCAAGTTCTTTTTGGGGCTGGTTTTTTTTAAAAAACATTTTTAAATTGTTAAAAGTTAACGTCTTTGAGATTGTAAAAGTTAACGTATGAAACTAATTTGCATTCCATTTTTAATGATTTCATTGAAACTGAATTGCAAACTTAAGAGCAGAAATTAAGATTCACAATTTTTTCATGTAAATTAAAAAAAAGAGTAAATAAAGAAATTTGTCTAATACATTGAAAAAATTATTTCAACGAGCTTTCCTATTTCGCTACTAGACCAGCAAATGCGTTGTTTATACTTTTATGATGAACTTAAACAAAAACATTCCTATCTAAACCTGTTAAGAATTAACTTTACATAATGTAACTAAACATTTTGACAGAAAACATGAACTAATTTTAAAGCAACCAAAAATTAGAACAAAAATTAAAAACAGCATATTAAGTTACAATGTTAACTGAATAAAATTATTATTAAAATCTAATGATCTTTCAGTTAAGTAGATTTAAATTCTTATGTAGCAAACTGCTTATCCTTAAAAAAATAAAAGTGTAACAATCTAAAACTTTAAAAAATTTTTTACATTGCAACAAAACAATTATAAATAGTTGCCAAATATCTAACTTTATGTTAGAAGCAAATCATGCTTTCTTATTTAGTAGTACTCAAGAAAATATTTTTAAGTATTTTTGAAAAAAAAAAAAAAAAAAACTTGAGGTTTTCATCAAAAATTTAATAAATCCTAGGTTTTTTTTAATGAAAAATCTAGGTGGGCTGGGATTTTCCCAACCCTGTTTCTTACAAATCTTTTCAGTTTTTAGCACAATCATGAATTTTAAAAAATGTTATGTCCTCTATAAATTTACAGTTACTTATTATGCATTGAAATATTATACAAATTTATTCAATTCAAGATTTCAGGAAATAGTTTTTGTTATGGTTTCTAGTTCAAATTTTCTTCTTTCTGATACTTCTTTTCATAGCATTTTACTTAATTCCTATAAGCAGATGCGTTACAAGTAGAACTGAATTTCCTGAATTCTGTCAATTTTGAAGGTTAGTGTGGGTCTTCTACTTAGGTACCTTAAAATTGCTCCCCCCCCCCAAAAAAAAGCACTATCTCTTCCATGTGCAGTATTCCCCTTTTCCACACTATTGTTTTCTTTTAGAATGCTTCACTTTCCTCATAGAGTATCATTCTAAGCAAAAGGCAGAATATATTAACCTTCCGTTAGACGCGCACACTTCACAGGTGCATCCCTACTGCACTTCCACCTCCTTTGCCGTCAATAGATGTTTCCGGAAGACGAGCCTAATGTTATCTTCCTATCTTTGGATTACTCAAAGGACCGTGCACTCCCGACCTTCAAACATGTCAAAGGAGAGTTGCAGCGGCTCAAATCGCCCCACAGGTGAAGCGCGACCATTGACGCAAGTATTATGGATATAATAATTTTATGAATTAATATATATATATTTTATCTTATTTTCTGCCCTACTCAACGTAGCAGGCATAAATGGTCAAGTAATATACACAAAAAATGGTTAAAAAGTGAAAAACCGCAGAACGTGCTTGCGTCAATTGGTTAAACATCTTGTGATGGATGAAATGATGCGACGCAGGAGCAAAAAAAATGTATCTTCAGTACTTCGTTTTCGATTGGCAGAAACAAACTTCTCAAGCCGCAAAAAATTCATAGTCTGAAAATGAAGCCAAAAAAAGAAAATTGTGCGAGTCATGTCAAGAAAATAAACAATGAAAAAATACGAAGTATACTTGTGCTACTTACGGAAAATACTTATGTTTGAGTCACGTAACAACAATTTGTAAAGACTGCCACTCATGCAAAAATTCTTGTTCAGATGGAGATAGTTCCGCATCAGACTATCTCTAAAATAATTTTTTAATATGTGACATTGAAATAAGTTGTTTTTATTTTAATGTCACATATTAAAAAATTATTTAATTTACGACTCTTTATGTTGTGCAATTATTTTTGATAATGCTTTTTAATAAATTTTTCAAACTAAATAAGTTTTTTAATATTTATCTCTCTAAAGAGTCTTAAATTGGTAACAATTAACTGTTTAAAATAGAATAAATTTCACTTGGTTTTCAAAAAATCAGAAACACCTCATAGGTGCAACGCGATTAACCATGTCGGAAACAAGTGCGCGACTAACGGAAGGTTAATGAAAGAACCAATATCAGGGTTGCCACTCTAATCTGAAAAAAAAAATAAATAAAAAATTCCCTGTAGATATTATACACAATATATTAAAAGGAAACACACTATCAATGTGATTTTGTGTGAGCTATATTGCACTAACTATACTAAATATAATTACCTGAGGAACTTAGAGAGAAAAGGTACAGCTGAACATATTTAAAACAAATAACGCTTGAGTAAATTAAATAGTTTAGTATAGCAGAAATATCATCCTTAAATATGCCATAGATTAGACTTTGAGTGGTCGCCATTTTTTAAAAGACTAAAATACGAAACAAAATTCCCAGTTTGCAAAGAAAAATTAATTTTCCCAGTTTGCAAAGAAAAATTAAAAATTCCCTGTAATTTTAGGTGATTTTTAAATTCCCTGTATTTTCCAGGTTTTCTCTGTAAAGTGGCAACCCTGAATATATTAATGAATGCTTTCTTCCCCTTGTCTGTAGCCCCCCCCACATAAATTTTTTCTCTATATATAATGCTTGACTTTCGATGCACGGTCTAATTCAAATTCATAAAAGAACGACATTTTGTTTTAAAAAATTGAACTGAAAAATTGCAACGATGAACCTTAACAACGCTGAAAAATTAAGGACCTTTAAGAACATTGAACCATAATTTAGAACTTTTAAGGGCCCTTATTTTCTAAAATAAAAATTAAGCAGTTTTCAAGGACTTTTAAGGACTGTGGGAATCCTGTAATAAATATTTTTTAAAAAGTGAAAACTGTACAAAACTATGTAATGATAATAAAAAGACATTAAGTTCAAGTGCAAAAAAAGGATCCATTCTTACCATACAATGTGTAAACAACACCAAACGATAAATACATTCCAGATATGACAGCAGAACTCAGATCAAAGTCATAATCATAGTAGAGGCACCGATCTACATCTGCAGCTACAGTGTTATTTTCAAATAGATAATCATCATCAGGATGTGTTTCATATGCATCCCAATCTGACATGATGACACTAAAAGGAAAAATACATGAATAGATAAAAATAAAACAGGTATTGAAATTTTTCTTTTTGTTCAGGTTTCCCATTCAATTTTCAAAATTAAATTTCATGATGGATTCTAGTTTTCCAAAATGTGTATATTTTTCATATGCACAAAAATATATAGAACATTACATTTTTTTTAACACACTAAATATTCTGAATATAATATAGTTTATAGGTAGAATCCCGTTGAATCATCAAATATGGAAAGCTTAATTTTTAAATTAAATTTTTACAGGTAATATTTTTGAACTGCAAGTATAGTTGCATTGAAGAAATAATTTGAATTGAGAAATTAAAGAAAAAGTACCATGTACAAATTTGTATTTTAATTTTAATAAATCAAAGAAAATTTGACCCTATTTAAGTAGCATTTTTACAGGAAATAATTTTTAAAAAATTGCTAAGACTTAATTACTTAAAACTTTTTTGGATATTTGTTGCTGTTACAATGAGTTTTTAGAAAAGTAGAGTTTTTCTGCAATGGTGAAATTTCAACCATTTTTGCCTGTTTAGATGTTTCTTCACTATTATCTTAAATGTTGTAGAAAACAAATATTTTCGGGTTGTCAGGGCTGTTCAGATAAACACCAATAAAAGTAAATAAAGAAATAGTATTACATTTATACCTTTACTTTTAGTTAATATTCATGATAGCATTTTAATCCAGGGCTCATCATCCTCTACTGAACTGAAATTTAATTACATCTTGATATGTTCTAAAAAAAAAAAGAGATTATGATTAGAATAGTAGATAAGGATTTTACATAAGTTTATGTGAAGTTTAATTATAATTTAACATCAAAATAAATTTTGTTTATATTTTTATAAGAAAAACTTTAATAAGGAAAAGCTAGAACAATCAAGATTAAAATAATTAAATATAACTAAATAAATTAAAAATAAATCTAACTCTTAAATTTTTTTCTTCCAAATTTTCATTGAATTCTGTTATGAATGTATGGGTAAATACATTTGTAATAAACTATACATAATTAAGAGTAAAACAGCTAAATGACTTGAAAGAAAAAGGATTGCTTTTGGTTAATCAGACACAAGTTATTTTCTTTCATTAAAAATTAACTTTAACATTTGGAAATACCTATAAAAAGTTTTAAAAAATGATAGATAATAAATTATTTTGTGAAAGAATCAGATTTTAGAATTTCTAATAGCTTTATCAGCACTTTTAACTGTTATTCACTAAATAAACAAGTCAAGTACACTAAGTTTTCCCGCTAAGGAATTTTCAGAAGAAATTTTTGTTTGTTAACTAAAAAGTAAATTAAATTTTAAAGCCTGAGATAGTAAACAAATAACAGGTCTTTTAACAGGAAGAAAAAAAAATTAAACATACTATTACCAGTGCAACAAAGAAATTGTCTGCAATGCAACAATCTATTTTTCTAATTTTAATTAATTATGACAACTTGTCATGGCATGAAACAAAAGATTTCTATATTTTGACCTACATCAAAATAATAGTCAAGTTTTGGCAACTTTCCGACAGTAGTCCGCAAAAGTAACAAAAAAAAAAAAAAAANAAAAAAAAAAAAAAAAAAAAAAAAAAAAAAAAAAAAAAAAAAAAAAAAAACATGCTCAGAAAAGGATTAACTAAAACTATAGGCATAAGTCATATCCAATTGGTAAATGTCAATAAAATCCTTTTATTTAAACATTTACAAGTTTAAAATCTTTTTAGTGCCTTGGTGATTGAAGTTTGAATTAACAGATACAATACAGAAATATCCCCATTTAAAAAATATTGAAAAAATTAAAATAATAGTATCAAAAACAAGTGCATTTGAAAATGTTCTGAAATAATTGGAGAGAAAGTTTTGTAAGCGATGTAACATACTCTTCTTTCTTTTTTGCACTCTAAATTACAATTTTAAAGCTGTCTTTATATCTATCTAACTTAAATTAGATACAGGGACATTAGCAAAGTCTAGTGATGGTTCAGGAAAAAATTATTGAGAATATTTCCTTATGGTCACCTGAAGTTCTATAATTGCTACGTTACACTGGCTTCTTCAGAGAAAAAAACTTAGAATTCGACCAACTTGGAAGCGGCTGAACTAAAGTTTTTTCCAAGTTTAAAGAAATGCCTCAAATACACCTTGATGACTATAGTTAGCACTGAAGCAGAAATATTCGTGAATTATTATATAAAATATTTTATATTGAGTTGCAGAACTTTACTATGTAGCTAAATGATTGGGAATAAACACAAATGTTTAATGAAATCAAAAAATCATATTAGATATAGATATTATTTATTTGTTCTTAAAGTTGTAAAAATGTCTCAATACAATGAAGCACAAATTTACTGAAATACTGGAGTAGAAAATATTATATTTTCACAATAAATTTAATATTTAAAATTATCTAAATTAAGAATTTTTAATGTGTCTATTTCTAATTTATCAATTGAAACAATGAAAATAAATGCAACTCTTACCATTTATACTATCGATGATGCTATCAAACCTGATTAATGAAATTTATTATAATTACATTTACTGTAATGCTCATATTTTTTTAACAGCAACCTATACATGAAAGATTACATTACTAATTAGTGATATGTTTTCTAACAAGCCATCAAAAAGGAAGAAAAATACTGTAAAAGTGAGAAGATTTAAAAACTATAAAATTATTTAGTTTCCTCTAAAATTTTCTCCCTGAAAGTATTTTATTGCTAATTACATTTTTATTCAGTTACATAATTCAAACACAAATATTTTTAAAATTTTTATTAGTGAACAAAGGCATCATTTGACTAATACATTAAATTCAACCCATCTAAAAAAAAAAAAAAAAAAAAAAACTTTAGTGGCATTATAAAAGATATGAAAAATAATAGAGATATGAACAAAGCAAATAACGAGTATATATTTTTAGACAGGTCGAATATTAGCTATAAAACTAAAAATTAAAAACATTTTTCAGAAATCAGTGCAGAGACAGAATTAAAACACGAGTTGAATTTAAAAATAAGACCTAAAGATAAAGGAAGGGGAAAAAAGAGCATTAGCTGGTACTAGGGTACATCATTACATAGCCGCAAATTTTTAATTTATTCATATAGAATTCAAAAATGCTATGGAATAAAATATTCAATTTAAGAGGTAGTGGAAAGAAATGACATTTGCAATCTTAATACTTCACTTAATAAATAACATAATTTGGGTTAATCAATAAAGAAAAAAAGAAATATTACCACATCTGCACACATCGTAAATAAAGAAACTAGCCATTCCTCTTTTTCGATATTTGAAGTAGCAGTTGTTTTGGTTTCAATTTTAAGTATTTCAGAAATATATTTACGTGCAACCTTAAAAAAAAAACAATGCATTTTCAATAATTTTTTAAAGTTAATGAAATGATTTTTTAACTTTAACTTTTAAAAGCTTTAGGAAATTATCTAGGAAATATTTAATATTTTCTCAAATGAAATGAGAAACTTCAAATTGGCAACAAATAAATATAATCTGTGTTTGCTTTCGTGTTCAGAAATTTGGTGGACGTTGACAGGAATTACACATTTTGAGCCGGATTGAATTAAGTTCATCATGCCTTCTGGAAAAAAGTTAACTAAAGAAGAGGAATTACTATTGCAAGATTTTAGTCGTAATGTTTCAACAAAATCTTCTGCTCTGTTTTATGGAAATGCATTCATAGTATCAGCTATACCACTGTGTAAGCATTTATTATAATCTTCTGCTAGCAATAACATTTTGAAAGTTTTGATGTAAATGTTTTTTTATTTAAAAATAGCGCCCAGTAATTTTTTAAATTTAATTTAAATATTAATTCGATGCATATTTTCTTCGATTGATTTTCTTACTCTTCTTCATTGTGATTGTCTTTCAGGATTTGCTAATGTGGTTAAATTTATGTTAATAATTCTTTGAAAAATCATTGCAATTGACTGTGTATTATAATGATCATAAGGAAATATATATTTGACATTTTTAAATCATATGAATAATTAAACGTTATAGGGAACAGTATATTATTATAGGGTAGGTATAGTATATTATAGGGAATAATATATTATAATCATTTAAAATTATAAAATCTGAATTCTATCTTATCGTAAACTAAATTTATCTTTTTCAAATAGAAAGTAAATTATAAGGTGTTGTAATAAGCAAATAAAGCAGCAGATTTTATAAAATGAATCTGCAGCACTATCTTCATGAATCCAAATTTGTCTGCAACCTCAATGCAGTCAGACGAAGATAATAATTGTGAATCTTGAGGTTAATCAAACATAGACGCTGCGGAATTTACAATCCTTGAAAATTGTAATTTAAGTTTTAATGTGGAATTTTTATACAATGATACCATAAAGAATAGAGTAAATCCTTTTACAATTAAGCCTGTAATCAAGTACCAGAAAAAATTTCTTTACTTTTTGTTCTATGTAATGTTTTTCCAATTCAGCTTTTAAATTTTTATTAGAAACAAGTCTAGACATGCTCTAAACATAGAGACTTCGCAATTTCTTCTTGATTGTTTGCTTGCTTTTTAAAAATAAAAATGAAACAGATGATAAATTGTGTTTGTTTTTAGTGACACTTGGACAAGCCAAACTTGCAAACCATTGACCTTTTGCTAATTAAGTCAGGAAGGCTATTGTTTTATTAGTGAGCATCACAAGGATGCTAGTATGTCTTAGCTCAGAATCGCTCAGATAGATGGCAGCACCACTCTTCCATGAGACCACTTAATCAATTTAAATATAGATCTAAAGGGGAAGAAAATTTACTCCAGATCCTTGTGTCTGTGGTTCTGTTCAACCGACTGCGGGATTTTCAAATCAATAGATTTTATGAGAAAGTATATTCCATGTATTCGTTGAGTCTTTGCAGAGTCGAGGATCGATCCCCGTACCTCCTTATCGTGGTCCAATTCTCTAACCACTGGGCTACCATGCTCTTAAAATGAAAATAGTCTGCAAATGGAGTAATAATCTGTGTGCAGCCAGGCTCATTATTACATTTTATTTTTTAAAGTTACCAATGTTTCATTTAGAGAAAACTGTACCATAGGAGAAATCCTGTGAAACAAAATCTTGTTCAAATGCGAGAACTAATTTAGTCTAGAAAATGTGAGTTCAGGTAAACTTACAAGTAAACTGTGAAATTTTAAATGTTGAAAATGTTTTTTCAAAATGCAAATAAATTTTGACAGAATTATTTAGGTTCATGTATTTGGGAAATAATTCTGTTAAAATTTTTTGCATTTTGATATTTTGAATAAAAGGTAATCAGCATTTGAAAGGCATACCCTCCAACTGCTACGGAATTTCCGTAGTTTCAGAAATCTTCTTTTCAGACGGTAGCAAAATTAATGTCTTAATATTTAAAAAAAATTAATTTTAGCGTAACTTGTCCACTATTACCTATAAAAGAGCAGGCCATATGGCTCGATTCTTAAGTTCTGATAAAAGTTTTATGAGAGATCCATTTGNTTTTCATGAACTCCTTTTTCTCATAATTTTAAAATGTTACTGAAGAAGCAGAATTACCGTAAAAAGTTTCTCCCTTAGTAAAGCATCCTAAAATGTAATCACAAAGTTTTATTCTCTTTGGGTTTAAATAATGAGAATGATCTCAAATCCTCATCAATTCTCTCAAATTCATATATGGAAGAAAATAAGAATTTAGACTTCTTGTTACACATAAAAATATTCAATAGTTGTTAGTTAATTGCTGGAATGTACTAAAGTTTTGCTCAGTTTTTACTTAGCAATTTTATGTTTTTTTAAAAGAATTATAAAGTATTCAGCATTTTAAAGAATTATAAAGTATTCAGCATTTAAAAGTTTATAAGGTATTTTATAGGTTATTTATTCTAGTTTGAAAAAAAAAAGGTTAATTTATTTTAAACTGATTTAAAATTTATGCCCATATTTTTATTCATGCAAAATACAAATAAGTTTGATGTTTTGATTCTTATTTGATGTTTTTAAAATTTTATTTTAAAACCAATTTTGTTGTTTATTAGTTTTTTATTAATAGTTTTGTTTCATTTAGTTTGTTTATTTTTTTTCAAATAAATTATCTAAATTGTTTATTGTAAGAAAATTACTATTACTGTGTTCAAAAAACTTACTTTCTCAACTTAAAGATTCTGACTTAAACCAAGTGCAGATCAACCAATTTATATTATGATCATAGGAAACCAGGCACATCATTGGGGGAAACTTGGTGCTAGTTATGTCTGTGTATTCATTAGACTTGACTCTGCCAAAATTATCTAAATTTAAAACAATAGTGCTTAAATCGAATAACTAACATATAAAAGGGGAAATCACACAAATATTTCATTCAAAAAATATATGGAATCTATCTAAAAGCAAAAAAATTGGCAAGATTGTTACTAACTTTAAGATGTAACGTTTAATTGGTATGTAATTTAAAAAAAACACCTCGTGATTTAATAGCAGTTTTATTAAACAGAGAGGGCAAATAATATCCCTCATTTTTTAACATGCTTTATTATTTATCCTAAATTCTGTGGTTTTGCTAAACATTATTTGTAATTTTTTTGAAAAAAAAATTTATCCTATTTCAAGATAAATTATAATAAGACTGTTTAAATTACGAACTCAAATTTATTGATTTCAAATAATGTATTGTAACAGAGCGGTATAATAGAGTGGATGTTATACAAATTTGACATATATTTACATTGAAATATCACTGTCAACAGTGACACTTCAGATTTCCCAAGCTGGATTTGGTTGCACTGTTTTAATATTTGACATATTAACCATCTTTGTAATTATATTTGAAGGTTTTCAATCTACAGAGCCTATGTTAAAACAACAACACTATTTATTTCTCTCTTCATCTCAGTTACTTGAACAACAAAAATAACTATATTTTTTTTCCTTCCACTTTTACAAAACTAACTATAAATATTGATAAAAGAGGAACCTGGAATTATATTTTATTAAGCTATTTATATCTTTTTAAACTCTGAATTAGGTTTTTCGCAGTAATATTTATTTATTTATTATTTATTTTTTTGCAACTTGAGTATGGCATTTTTGTATAGTCTGTTATTACTCATAATAGCTTTTGTAAACTAATAATTTGTTTCTAGGGCTTTTCTGGAGAATTCATCAAATGGATCCTTATCAATCTGCTATTTTATTTGCTATTGTTACTATTGTTAGCACATGGTTAGTTGCATTTGCTTACAAGAATGTGAAGTTTGTTTTGAAACATAAGTGAGTATACATGTTTGTGTTCTAAACTCATTGTTAAGTTTATGACTGTTCCTAAGCATAACTGGATAGTTAAAATTTTATGCATGTTGTGCGCAGGGATAAAAATCCTGTTTTTTTTTGGGGGGGGTATATAACATAGTATATTATTAGCATACAATTTTATTTTATAGTATATAATTTTATTACTAAATCTGTAATAACATATGGTATTAATATTAGAAGATAAAATTAAACATGAATTTTATTTTAATATGCTTAACAATCAGATTGAATTGTTATACAGCTTCATTTTATTTTTTATTCAATGAGATACTGCCAAAAATATTTTTCAATTTCAATTAATTTAATTTTATTTAAACTCTATCCTATAGATATTTTAAAATATAGCTTGATGTTAACTAAAAGACTTTCCTATCAGAAAAACACCTGATATTCTTTCCAACCCAGTAGCTTTTCTTTTTTCATTTTTTAAAACTCAGATTTGACCATTATCAACATACGAAAAATTAGATGGCCTTTAATTATTACTTATCAGTGACACAAAACTTTAAATTCAAAAAGTAACACTGAACCAGAAATTAAACCAAACAGACAATGAGAATCTAAGTCCATGTGAAAAAATTGTTGAAAAGAGGTGTAATCAAGCCCTTACTCCTTTCCATTTTTTAGCTATAATTTTGAATCCGAAATACAATGGAAAAAGACTTTCTAAATACATAAGGAAAGAGGCAGAGGATTGGGTTCCTAAGAAAAGGCTGAATGGCTAATTCTAATTCTATGAATAAAAGGGCAAGTGTATACTTACACTCATTATTTAATGAAAGTTTGGTGGAGAATACAAAAGAATTCCCATTTTATGGTTCAGTTAGCTGTCTGTCCAGCAAGTTCAGCAGCTATTGAATGCAGGTTTTCTACATGTGGACTTATTTGGTCCAAATTGCACAACAGTTTGGGACCCTAAAAAGTCTGAAGTTTATAGACATTTATCGAGTACAGCAGAACCAGAAGAGATTGTTATAGAACTTTTAACTAAATGTGGCATTCATTTTATTTTTACTTTGCTGATATATCATTAATTAATATAAATTACAGAATTTCCTTATAAAAATTAATATTATGTGATATCATTGAAATTTAAATATTTTGGTAAAATACAATTCTAATTCTGCTATGTTAAAATATTTTTTTTCCTTCAAAATATATCATGTTTTCATAAAATGAAAATTTCAAAAATATATTTAAAAAAAATTTTGCTCAACTTTTTAGCATGTAATTAAGATTAATTTGCTTAATAATGATAACATAATTTGTTTAATAATGAGTGAAATAATAACTGTAGGAAACTGGGAAAAAAAAGGTTAGCCAACCAACTCTTTTTTTTTCTTGTAATTTCCTAAAAAATCCCACTTAAATATATATTTTTTTTTCATGAGTCTTTTTTTAAAAAATAAGAACAATTTTGTTTAGTACTTTTAAAAATATGTTAAGAATTATGAAAAAACTCAGTTAATAGGATTTTTGAAATGAAATATATCTTTGACAAATCTATACATTTTCATATGAAGTACTGCGACTTTTTTCAGAAAGTTATAGAGGGTTAATATATTTGCTGCTGTACAAGCATGGGATTGGTTGCAAACATACTAAACTAAGTAGGTTATAAATTTCAATTAGTATTTAGATTGACTTTGCCCTAATGAAAGAAGAAAAGTTTGTTTTAAACTTAAAATTTTAAATGAAATTTTTCATCTTTTTTTGTTACATATTTTTGATGTTCATCAATTGGAGCATTTTATACCCATATTGTCATAAAGTGGGTTACATTTTCAATACTGAAAGTAAGTATTTGATGGTTAAGTGAATAGTCGACAAATTATTGTTCCTGTTGCAAAATAAATTCTGTAAATACAGCAGAATGTCGAACCTATATTTCATTTTTTTTAAATTTGAAGTGAACTTTTTAATTGAAACTGCCTCTGTTAAGCAAAGTTCTTTTTTAAAATACACAGTTCTTTTTAAACAATTAATAATATATTTTTATGATTCCTCCATGTACAAGGCCTTCAAAAGTAAGAAAAAACACTCTGTATTGAATGACTGCATAGAATTTATCATTTTATGTGAGTAACAAACAATTTGATCGTGAAATTGTTTGCTTTTGATCAGGGTTGGGTTTTTGCCGTCAAAACCTGGTTTTTGACATGACAGTGGTAAAAACCGTGTTTTTACCGGTAAAAACCATCAAAAACCTACTGTTTAATTTATGGCATATAACGGACAATATATTATTTTCACATAATTGCAGCCCTAACAATGTAGTTAAAAATTATAGGATCTACTNTTTTGACATGACAGTGGTAAAAACCGTGTTTTTACCGGTAAAAACCGTCAAAAACCTACTGTTTTCTTTCATTTATGGCATATAGCGGACAATATATTATTTTCACATAATTGCAGCCCTAACAATGTAGTTAAAATTTGTAGGATCTACTAACCATTATCATCAAGTAATCAAAAAATTTAACTTATGTATTTTTACAGATTTTTGTGATCTTTTAATACTTTCTGATTTCTAGAATTGCTGTAAAAAGAGAAGATGCTGTTTCTCGTGATGTTATGAAAACTTTAGCAGATGACAAGAAAATGTCGAAAAAAGAAAAAGACGAAAGGTATGTTTAATCTTTATTGATTTTATTTTATTCATATTTTCCTGAAATTGCACAATGTTTGTAAATGATGTAATAAGCATTCAATAATGCAATCCTTTATTTAGTAGGTCATAAGAATTGTTAAGTCAATTTGGTTTTAGTTTTGTAATTTGTTTTGAAGTAATTTAATTTTCTAAAATATCCTCTATGCCTCAAATGTGCCAACTCTCCCTATTTTGCCCAGAGTCTCCTATCTTTTATTCCATATTTTAGTCTCCTTGTTTTTATCAAAAATCTTCAGTTTTTTTTAAATTAATTTTTGAATCAAAAACAATTTGAGTAATTTTCCCGTTCATTGGTATTAATTTAGGCATCTTAATTTGTGCATTCTCATCATATATTTACACATGTGCATTAAAAAAACCAAGACCCTATGATAAAACGTATTTAAATCTGATTGATTTTGATTATAGATGTGAAATAAGTACATGCAGTGAGAATAATCCCTAAGCTGTACGAATCATTCTCGAATGAGAAAATATTTATTGATTGATTATGGGCGTCATAAAGTGTAGTGATTTTGTCATTAGTTCCTGTGAAAAGGTAAACGAGCGTATCCTCGTGCGATTTGTATCTTGAAATAAGACGGAAAAGAAAGTTATTAATAAAGTATTTAACTTGTTTTAATCAATCATATTCCGAAGAATTTTTTTTAATAATATCTTTTGAAAAGAGAATTAATTATTCATTTTGCACTTATTGTTCAGCAGTTTTTTTCCATCCTGCATGAAGTTAGAGGGGACAGAACAACATATTTGAAGCAACAGAAATATGTTGAACTGGAAAAAACAATCGCACGAAATGAAACTGTTAAACTATCTAAAGATAATTATAGCAGAGGCATTATTCACAAATTTTATAACTAATAAAATCTACCAATGTTAAAATTTCTGTACTTGTAAATGAAAGTAATTTACTATTTTTCATATATTTTTTTCACTTTGAATTTATTACTGTATGTATTTCTCAATATTATAATTTATGACTTCCTTCTGAACATCCTTCCTTCTAAAAAGTCTTCTACTTTTTAATTATCTCTGTTTAGCACATCTGTTGTCCAGTGTTTTCACTACAGCGCGAGAACGCGAGAATCTCGCATATTTTTTTCTTTTCTCGCAATAAAAAATAATAAGCGCGAGAAGTTCGCGCACTCTATTAATCAATTTCAAAATGCGCGCATTTTGGAAAAAATTTCGTCTTTTTCCATTTTGAATAAAATCTGTTTAATTTTTCTTCCTTGATCTTTCGTTATTTTGAACATCGGTCNATAGAATAAGTCAAGGCTCTGTTACTTTGAAATTAAACAAAAATTTTAAGAAACATAAATAATATTTTTCTGTTTTGGTGTTAACTCAATGAAGCTCTATTTCCAAATATTTGGCACAAAAGTTTGTAATTTTGATATTAAAAAAAATTTTTTTAATCAATGATAGCTTCTTCATGTCAATTTTTTTGGTGCATCAAATGAAGTTTATATATATCATATTATCTTAAACTACAAAATAAGGTTGCTTTACTCCATAAGAATTATTAATAAATAAATATTAATTAAATTATTAGTTTAAATTTAGTTTCACAATGAATCATCAAATGAATCATTACTTCCATTTTAAGTATTGATTCAAATCTATTCTGAGTTAAAAACTAATTATTGTCAGCAATTCTACAAGTGTAGGGGAAAAGAAATGGACTATGCAGAGTAAATGATTTTTAAAAAAATGCATCCATTAACATCTGCATTTTCAAGTATAAAAAGAAGTCTGAAAGTTCTCCAGGGATTGAGAGTATCTTAAAATAAAAATAAGTCTGAGCATTTATGAGAGCTGGTCAACCCAATGAAGTCTGCTATTCATTTCAATACCTTTCTCCCATGTGTAGTAAATTAATACAACACAGAGCAATTTTATTATTATGCATGGGATATTTAGACATTGTACTGTCACTTAAGGTTTGCTATGCACCTTTTTAAAAAATTTTTGTACTTCAAGTTGATTTGCATGCACCAAATTTTAAACATATAAAGTCAATCATTTATAATTTACTGTATGAAAATGAAGATGCTTTTACTTTATTAACTTTGTAATTAAAGTACAAAATCTCTTAAAATTGAATTTCCAATTTTTAAGATTATTCTTTAAACTGTTCTCCAAAGAAAAATACTGTATACAATGTTATTCATATTTTTTTCTATAATGTTCTGTTTAAATAAATATTCTTTGTTTATGAGCAGATCTGTAGACTGTGTATAAAGTGAGATTTTTCAGAAAATTTCTGAAATTAAAGAAAAATTCCATTTTTGAAAAAAATCAACTAACTTTTTTTTAAAAAAAAATTGTTCATTAATTTTTTAATACTTTAAAGAAATGGTGGTTTTATGCTACATAAGTTTTTTTTCTCACAATTATATTTGTCATCAATGTTACACTGTGCTGCAGAAAGTGCTTGGTTCAATATCTGCGTGTGCAGAGCACTTTTTTATGTAACCTTTAATATCTGAGCAAAGTATTAGGTTTATGTATGTTGGTTTTTATGACATTTTAAACGAGTTTAATTGTTTACAGAATACTTTGGAAAAAGAATGAAGTAGCTGATTATGAAGCAACCACATTTTCCATATTTTATAACAACTCACTTTATCTGATGCTCATCATTTTGTTGTCTTTTTACTGCCTTCGTTCCTTCAATCCAAGCATGTATCCTTTTACTGTTAATGTTTTTTTTAAATCTTTCTTCTTTATTTAAAATAACTTTTATCAGATTTCAGATTACTTTCATTATTCAGATTATGATCAAACTTTTATTTCAGATTACACTTATCGTCTCTTGTGATTCAGTCAGTTTATTATTTTAAACTATATGCTTGTTATCTTATTTAGCATTTACCACTATTTTAGAGTTTTTGATATTTTGGTAGTTAGGTCAAACTTTATATAGATATCTTTTTCTGTATTAAATGTTTTAACCTGATAGCGTGTAAAAATTATTTCTTGTGATGCTGCTTGAATCTAATTTAAATTGTATGTTTAGAAATAGAATCAGTGTGCATCATAAGCTTACATAATTATTGTTATGACCAGTATTTTCCAATTGTTCAGGGACACGGTAATTTTGATTTTTAAAATTGGTGTCCTATTAAAATAATTTACTTCTAGAAATGGGAAACCAAAAATGTGAACTCTTTTATGTTTGTTCTATTGGAACTGCACTTACTCTTGTCAAAAGAACTTATAAATTTTATGTTTAACTTTCAGCTTATTTTGAAAAGCAATGATCAAAGTTTTCAAAAATTTCACTATTTTACTTGATCTGTAACAAAAATATAATATCATAGAAAGCATTGCAATTATCAGGGCTGATTGTGCTGCGGAAAAAATCCGGATTTTTTGCTAACAGTGATCCGGAAGTTTCTGGAGATATAAGGTCCAGACGTTTAAAAAAATCATTGATCACAGAAGTTCCTGGAAATCAAATTTTCAAAGGAACTTAAAAACACAGTTTATTGTATTTGTTTGTTAGGGAGAGCCAGAGAGATACTTGATAAGCTTATATTCATGATTAATATTCATTTTTTTTTCCAGTAAATATTTGTTATAATCATAAAAAGAAAGAAAGACACATTTGTAAATTTTAATTACTTCTCCAAGTCATCATAGGTATGTGTAAGTGGTATAGGTATGTGTAAAATTTTAAATATATTTTAAGTAAAGTAAGAAATATTGAGAGAAAGGGAAAAAAAATTTGTTTAAATTTTTTTAAATTTAAAATTTTTTTCTTTTTTTAACTCAGGAAATTTTCTGGAATTTTTACTTGGGCTCACAATCACCCCTGAATTATGACGCCGTCAAAACTTTTATAAAATGAAAGCAAAACTTTTTCAAACCAACTGCAGATCTTTTAAATTGGTACTATTGGTTTGAGACAATAAAATAATTCTATCAATAAAATAATTCTTCAATATGCTAATGAAATGTTAAATTCAGACATTTAGTCTGTAATATCATCATAAATTAGGTCAAAAAATTGTTTGCCAACAAGTTTTAATTCAAAGGTCGACTTATACAAAGAATTCATATAAAATCCTTCATTTTAAAGTTTATTTGAAATAAGGGGTCAATCTATGTAATTGATCAACTTATGTAAGAGTAGATATGGTACTTAATTACTTATATTTATATAAAATATAGTAAATTTTATAAAATTGTAAAAGCATGTAAGAAAAATTGTCATTGAAGCATGTAAACTTGTTTTAAAAAAGTAATTTTTTTAAATCACTCTTCTAAAAGATAGCATGTTTTAACTTATTTTATTATTGGTTATTACAGAACTGCACAATCTTTGACTAAAATAAGCCCATAAAGTCTTTTAACACTGCCCATGAACTGAAGTATTAATAAAACTATGTTTAAAAAAATAAACTGAAAACAAATTTTTTTTTGATACTTGATACTCTATTAGTAAAAAATTTTGTTCTCATTAATTGTAAAAATTGACAATTAATGTAAATAATTTTTTTAACTTTTTGTTTCTACTCTATATCTATCTATTGTAATACTTTGCTTTGCATTATCTTATAGCCATATTGGTATAGATTTATTTGCGATGAATATTTTTATTTATTTTAATTCTTAATATCAAATAAAAAAGAATTAGTAGCTTATTTTTTTCTAGTGTGTATTTTTAAGTAATATAGCATATTAATCTTCATTTTTGTACTGGAGCATCTTGTTAATGTTGGTTCTCAATATGACATTTTCAATTTTTGTGACCTGCTATCCTAAAATAGTTGTGCACCTTTAGTGTATTTATATGTTAGCAAATAGCATAATTTCTAATTGCTTAAGTAATGACTTTTAAATTGCAGAGTAGGAAACTTTTTTTTGAGAAGAGTGAAAGTTATTAAATTGTCCCATTTCTTTATAAAGTAACTCAAAACCCTGTATTTCGATAAAATTATCATTTGTTGTAATAATTGCATATTCTATTCATCCCATTTTAAGCAATTTCAATGGGTCCATTTTACAAATTTTGTTCGCAATATAAATATCTGACGTACATTTGATATAACAATAATTCCATAATCTGAAATGTTAAAGTGAAATAGGTATTTAGATAGAGATGAACCAGTTGTTTCCAATGTTCAAATTAGAAAAATTCTTGCTTTAATCTTTTTGTCAAAATAATCTAAATTTGTTGTAGTTATATGCATTATTATTTCATAATTAAGTCTATTCTTCCTGTTGAACTAATTATGAAACAAGTTGTATAAGTGGAATAACTAAGGACAATTGTTCAATAGTTATTTCGTTTATCTCGCTATTAAATTGTTTGCTATCTTAATCAAGAGTTTGAAAGACAAAACTTTTTAATTTTTACCATCAAAAACTAGTCTTATTCTTAATAGGACAAATATACTTTTCTCATTTTGAAAAGAATTCTTAAGCAATGTGTTTATTTGTAGACACTTTATTTTGAAGATAAGTAATATAAAGTTCAGAAAAAGTTTAGAACATGATTGTTTATTCAATTCACTGTCTATATTTCTCAGTGATTTATTCTGCATGATAAGTTTTAACAGATCAAGCAAATTCTATTTGACAATATTTTATTTTATCACTCTCATTTATTGACTTCAATTATAAATTTTACATGTGCTCAGTCTAGTTCATTAAAAACAATTGAATATTTTAGAAGCATTTGTTTTTAAAACAAAAGGTAAATGCTTAAGAACTAATGTTATTTTTTTTTTAATTGAATGAGTTTATTTATTTTTGCATAAAATTCACAAAATCAAAAGAGCAAAATTTAAAAAATAAAGAATATTTCCCTCAATTTCAGGTCTTTTAACAACCTGACTTTTTAGTAATAAAAATACTTATGAAATAATTTAGAAGTGTTTTAAATTTTCAAGAAATGAAGTAACTACAAGCTGTCAAAATTTGGCACAGGTTTGAATCCCACTCTATTTAGATTTGTACATGATTTTTTTTTTAAATGTAGGTATTAGTACCTATTACCTAAAAAGGGCCTGTTCTACAAACATATTTTGGTTAATATAGTTAAGTGAAATGCAATTGTAAAGAAGTTTTCAGATTTTTAGATAGTTGTGAGATACTCAGTGAAAGAGATTTATTTTTGATTACTGTAATCACTCATCTTTTTTATGATAAGTAGATTCCGATGAAATTGAGTAGGTTGATTATGTTAAATTGCTGAAAACATCTGTTCACAAATTGTGCTAAAACAGATGCACTCAAATGTTTATATCAAAAATAAAAACTTAATTTCCATTTTTAAGGTTATAGATGTGGGCCTGTGCAATTAATGAAATAACTTTTCCTCTAACCTAATTGGTTTAGAATCCAGTGCTGTGTATTTCTATGCAGTACCTTTGTTAATCTTAGTCATTTGCAGATTTTTTTAAATTGATTCTATGTATTGCAGAATAACAATAACTGTCAATTGACCTTAATTGTAATTTAGAAATTACGTTGCATCAGTGGGAGCAGCATCTGGATTATTGGCTTTGTTTTCCACTAGTTCTAACTAAAATCAATTGCTCATCATTTGTAATAAAATATAAAACTCATATCGTTTCGTTTCTTTACTTTTGCGTTTGATATTTTTATTCATATGTAGCTTGGAAATTTTAAGCTTTAACATTTTATTCTAGATTTTAAAAGTTTGCTTTAACATAATTTTAATCACTGCATAATGAGTAATGAAAAATATATGTATAAGAAGCTTGAAATTGTTACCTTGAAGTTGTAAGTGATGGCGAAATTTAAAAATTGCTAATTCAGGATGACCATAAATGCTCAGAAGGCAGTTAGAATTTTTTCAGACTGAAATTATTGAATTTATTTAACTGATTTTCATGACTGGTAGCCTTCATTAACTTTTCAGTTATGCTTTATTTTAAAACATAAAATGCATTACAAAAACTCAAACCATTAGAGTTATATTAAGCAATTTTTTTAACAATTATTTCTATCCTTTTTTTCCTTTAGAAAAAGATCATACTTTTAGATACATCAAACATAAATTTTTCCTGATCTTAATTTTTTCCTGTTTTGTGTCACCCTATAATTACTTTAACACTTTTGCTTTTTTACTGGAACTGCGTAAAACCTTTTCTGAAAAACGTAAAAGTTGGCAACTATGCATATAGTGTGAGTGGAGGTATTGTTTTAAGGTCTAAAAATAAACAACAAAATAAAAAAAGCAAAAATTTATAAAATAATTTATTATGGAAAAATATTCCTTCCATAATGCATGGGCTTCACACAGACAAAGTGTTCTAATATCTTAACTTTAAGACTAAAAATCGATTGAAAAATCAGTGCATATTTTTCAGGTTCTGCTTAATTACATATTTTCTTCAATAGATTGCTTCCTTTCTGTCCTGTACAACATTTAAAAATGCATCGATGGTATCAAATAGCTATGTTTCCCAAACTTAGTCTGGGCTAAATCAATATGGAAAAGTTGAGTTGAACTTATGCATATTTATTAACAATTTATAATAATGATACTTATATAAATAGTTTAAGATGACTCAAAGAAAGAGTAGTACTGCATTTATCTTTTGTATTAATTGAAACAAAAACTTCATTACAATAGTGCAATAAGTGTACTGGCAATTTTCCCTGGCCCCAACTGCTGTTAAAAAAGCCATATTTAATCTAATGAGTGAAGAAATAAAATCAATTAGAGGATTTGGGTTGTTAAATATGAGATTTTGCTACATACACGTGCTACATAATGCATTTATAAAAGGTTTAAATGTTTTTGAATCTAATATTTCTGATTTAATTATTGCATTATTTCACTATTTTGATGGATTGCCTGCTAGAAAAGAATTTCGAACTGTTTTGGTTGAAAAAAAGTTTAAAGACCTTTGCTTTATGAAACATTCAGCTTAAAGATGCCTTACTCTAGAATCAGCCATTATTAGAATTTCGTATTTTTGGGATGGTACTGTTTACTACATTTTGAAATTTATACCTCTTAGAGAAAGAGTTTAGTGAGCATAATTTTTGTTCTTTTCTTTGTAGCATTACTAAAAAAAATACTTGAAATTAAAAATATATATTAATTACTTTCTTAAGACCTACTTTGTAGTAATTTCATTTCGAAAAGACATTTATTATAATAATAATAAAATGATTGAGTTCATTTTAATATTTTAGATTAGCATAGCGAGTATAAAAATGTTTATTTGTTCAATATAGATCAATTCTGCTTTTATAAACTTTCGACCCCATTTTATCTAATGGGTCCCCATTTCAACAAAAATAGTACCCATTTTCCCCAATTTTTTATCCTTAAAGTGTTGAGAGGCCTTAGTTCCTTTCCCGTCAGGCTAACCGTGAGAGGTTCCGTGGTGAGGCTCTTCGTGTAACGCAAATGCGCTTTAGTTCCAACAAAAAGTCCTCCACGAAAACAAATTTCTCCAGGTGTTCCCTTCTCGTCTGAATTTGGTTAATTACAAGACTACGGAATTTAACATTGGTAGTTGTTAACCCAAAATTGTATCGGTGGTTCCAACGAACGTTATAAAATAAAATTATCCTACAACCAACTTCCAAAAAGGAACCCGTAATTTTTTTATGTTGAACAGCTGACCCAATTTTGAGTGTATGACTGAGTGCTCGACTTCGCGCCTAGGTCGTCGGGCTCCCGAAGCGGGGGTTCCATCCCCTCTGCAGGGGATCAAAATTGTGATGGCATGTCTTCGGATCATCCTCAGGGATGTTTCCCAGACCGTCGCCAATAGCCCATTGTGCAGCTCTAGTGCGACGTAAATGAACAGCAAGAGTGTATGACTTCTAATGTTCATTTCTGCAGCCTTGTAATTTTGAATCCAATACAGAAAACAAAAGAACTCCTGGATAAAGTATTAGGAGAAGTTTGTCTTCGTGGAGGACGTTTTGATGGAACTCACCCGCATCTATGTTACATAAAGTGAAAAACCTCCCATGGTTAGCCTAACGGCAAGGATAATCTAACCCATGATCCGTCTATTTTACGTCAGCACTGTGGTTGCTGAGAGCCTGGTGCAGAATTCGCATCGACTTGCTATCGCTGGAATTTGAACCTGGATCATCTCATTGGGAGGTGAGCACTCTATCCCCTGAGCTTCTTGATCCGAATTTAAACATATTTGTTTTTTAAATAAAGAAAAGAAGCGACAGACACGTAGTCTCTTAATACTAGTCTGTTCCTTTGATTTTCTTTATACGTGCAAGTTCTTCGTTCGATTCGAATGATTTCGGTTAAAATGAAATATAAAAGAAGTCCACGGTTGAAAGTTATGAAATTCTGATCCAGAACGTTCATATTTTTTTTATTTATTGTTACACATTCGTATCAAAGACGACTTTAAACCCACATATAACGTTGAGGAACAAATGACACAAATTAGAGAAGAATTATCTTTGTGATTTCTTTCTTTAATTCGTGTCATCTGTTCAGGCGGTAATCGAACCCACTACTAAACGTTATATATCATTCTCACTGCAAGCGATTCCCATATGCGATTGAGCAGTAGCTTGTAGTTTCTGAACATTCGCTAGCAGCCGTGATAGCTCAAGGGATAGAGCGTTCGCCTTCCAATGAGGTGAACCGGGTTCGAACTCCAGCGATGACTGGTCTATACGAATTCCGCATCCGTCTCGCACCAACCACAGTGCAGACGTAAAATATCTTCAGTGGTAGACGGATCATGGGTTAGAGTCCTTTTGCCGTCAGGCTAACCATGGGAGGTTTTCTTCGTTTTCCTCTCCATGTAACGCAAATGCGGGTTAGTTCCATTAAAAAGTCCTGCACGAAGGCAAATTTCTCCCAATACTTGATTCAGGAGTTGTCTTCTGGATTGGGTTCAAAATTACAAGGCTGCGGAATTGAACATTAGTAGTCGTAAACCCAAAAAATTGGCTGTTCAACGACGGTTATAAAAATATTCGCATGCGGCGTGAATGCAGCCGGATCGGTGAGACCCCTCTATCAGGGAAGGCCTCTCTTTTTCTTTACGCACACATATGTGGGCTTGTGAGTTTATTAGAAAGTTCAGCCTATATAACTATATATCAAAATGAATGGCAGATAGCACAAGTTAGAGAAGGACAGCACACAGATATATTTAGGACTAAAACGGAATTTGACCCATTATCTCCACGTTACAGAACGTTTGGTAAAATGTTCTGGACCCAGCGTTTACCTCTTAAACCGCTATAGCTCGATGGATGTCTTCATCGTTTTACTTTGTTTCAACTTGTTAATTTTAGAAACTTTTAACGTCACTTTAAAAAAAAAAAAAACAGGTTTTAGGAACTCCGTTTGAAAATTTTAACGTAATTTTACGTAAATTTTTTTAAAAAAAACGAGTTTTAGGAACTGCAAGAGGTTTCAATAAACGTATCATATACTGGTTGTTTCCAACTAGCAACTGACTAAAATCTTTCAAATTTACTAGTTCTGCAGTACTGTTTGAAACATGTCTGTGAAGTTTTTATCTTGGTCAAAACTCAGTTTGGTTTGGTTGCTAACGTCGCACAAAAGCTACATCAATGGGCCATCGGCGACGATCTGAGACTCATCCTTAATTATTCCAAGACAATTAATTGATGGTGTTTTCTACACTAGGATACTCTGCAAGCTCTTTACTGCTTATACTTCCGAGTTACTGTTTCCGGTGTATTTTGAAGCCGTATGATCTGAGTGATGGTGTACGTATGATGGTATACGGCTTACACAAGAACAAATAGTAATAAACAAGTAAAAAGAGGCCAAATCAGAACTGCCAAAAAAGCGAGTTTTTTAAGAGCAAATTTTTACTTTAAACTCACCAGAATTACATAATATCTTATGAAATACAGCAGATTTGAGGGGGGAATTCGACTGAAGTTTTCTCATTTTTCTCCATTCTTAAAAAAAAAACAGGAAGCCATTCTAATGATAAAAATACAGAAGGCAGCAAAATTTAAAGAAGTTAGGGCATGTTGAATCGTTTTGAGCGTTTCTTTTCTAAAAATAATGATAGACTCATCTAAATGCGTAAGGTTGAAAGCACTTTTTAAATTGAGACTAGTGTTGCTAAAATGCAGAGTGTTCCGCAAAGACCACTCTTTATATTTTTAGAATAAATATAAAGTCAGAAAAATATCCACTTTCGCAAATTAATATTTAAGCAAGTAAAAATAAGAAAAAAACATTCTTAAAATCTAGGAAATCTTAACTGAAATCCGAGATGAAAACATAAAATTCTGTTTAATTGCAAAAGAAAACAAGGGATGTTTTAAGGCGATTAGAAGAAACACTATAAAATTTTCTCTGGCAATCAAACTGGTTTTGAAGTTTTCTTTTACTTCGCCTTTGTTACTTGAGATTTGACAGAATTTCACAGCTTTTTTGCTCCTTCCTCTCCAAAATATAAAATTGTAACCCCTAAAATGTTAAGACTTTATTTCGAAAAGGATTCTTAATATAAATCTGATGCAAACGTTAAAGGGTATTTTCTTAAAGCAATTTTTTATACTGATAGACACGTTCGATAATCTCACCAATTTCCCCCCGAATTACTTGAAA